CACGAATGCTTAGGTATAAGGTCTTGACTGTTGACTTATAGAAGGCCTTTAGCAGTGTGGGTCTGATGGAAGGCTCTTCTCAAATTTCCCTTGTGATCTGCCAGAAGCAGTTGGATGATAAATGGTAACGTGTTGTTTGTCTGGGTTAGCTTAGTATGTTAAAAAACAAGGCATTGATAAAGGAGAGGTATGTTAGACATGCTCCGAGAGCTGTATGCATTTGTAAATCAGTGCACAAAATGGGGATATTGTACTCCAAATCTTAACCCATCCTTCAGTGAATGGGTTTAATTTGTCAGGCATTACTTCTCTTCATTCAGCTTGAGAATGTATTTGTGCAGCAGCATTTTGTTTTGTCTTCAGGCAGATGTGGTATGTTTTGTATTCCTATTTTTCTCTTTGGTGCTTACCAAAAAGTTCCCTGAAACCAAGAATTTAGTATACACATATGCACATTCTTCAAGAAAACTTGCTGTGGAAGTTAACATGCAGGCACTCTAAAGAATGAGTCTCCCGTCAAAGATTAAATAACTAGGCAGTATGGTGGGCTATGCTAGGCATCTCCTTTTGCTTGTACACTATGGCAGATTGCCAATTTGATTGCTTACACTTAGAAAAAAGCCCGAGTGTGTTATGAACTGCTGCATTTTTGTGTGGGGGAAGGCTGATCTATGTTAGACCATAGGGGAAGGGAAGGTTCTTGCGACTTTTCTCATAATCTGTTTTTTTTCCAAGGCGGGTATTCTGACTGATGCCCAAGTTACTCAAGTGAACCAGCGTGTGAAAGAGCTCTTAGCTATAATTCGTCCCAACGCAGTAGCGCTGGTAGATTCCTTTGACTTTCACGATGATCATCTTGGATCTGTGCTTGGCCGGTATGATGGCAATGTCTATGAGAACATGTTTGAGTGGGCAAAGAAATCCCCACTGAACAAAACAGAGGTAAAGAAACTATTTCCTCATCTTTAGGTCATGTGTCCAGAGAAATAACCCAATTTAGGGTTTTTAAATTTTGATCCAGTGATCTTAACACATAATTGTTGAAGGGGAAGGGGTAATAGTCACTAATAATAATGGACCGAAACCAGCAACCTCTTCTGTGCATCCCTGTTGGGATAGTTTTGAGTTTCACAGTTGAGGGAGTAAATCATAGTCTCCCTAAAGAAACAATCGAATAATCTCAGTGAATTTAAAAGAAATTATCACTTGCTGTTAATTATGCTTAGTAAAGGTAGCTGTGAAAGTCTTGCCTGTTTTCTACCAAATCTTCTAGTGCCTTCAGGCAGTAGTAGTGACTGGAGAAGAAAATAATCAGGTGTTGCATATCTGCCCTAAGGCTGTAGCTACAGCAGAGCTAATAAACTGAGTTGAGAAGAGTCAGTGTCCCTCTTCCATCAGTCAAAACAGAACTCTAAATCCTGTCTTGGTGGCCTTTACTGCCTTTGATTTGGACAGACTATCTCCTATGAAAGGGTTGCCAGATGCTGTGGTTGTAGTTAAAGCCCACCAGAACTTGCTCAATTTTTTGTGCTTCTGAAGTCAGTGGGGCTTAGCTTCATTACAGTCCCCTTAGGGAGACCTCTTTCAGTTTTCTTTGAATTAAAATGCCAAAGAATTGTCTTGCATTCTTTTTTCTTATAAGAAAGGTAGTGGCTTATATTCTCATCCTTTGTGTCATATAGACACTCAAATAGAGGATTTAGCTGGCTGTTATTAAATCCCCAAAGTGCCTCTGATTCAAATTTCCCTAGTATAAAAACACACTGCAAGATGTAAAGAGCCAAAACTGTTTTAAAGCTCAGGCCTAACCTTCTTGTAACCACTGTCTTGTCCTCTTACAGGTTCATGAGTCTTTCCACAAACACCTGAAGCCGATGCAATCCAAGCTGTGAAGTCTGCTGGTTTTTTTAAATGCACACTTTTCCTGACCTGAAAACTGGGTGTTTGCATCCTTTCTTCAGGCACATAAATCAAACCTTTCAAATTCTGGTAGCTGTAGGACAGTGAATAATTGTAGCCTTTCTTTCCACATTTATAAATCGAGGAGGTGTTTGGGGAGAGTGCATAGGGATTTATGCCTGTTTTTAAAGTGCAATTATAACGGTAAAACTAACCTTTTAAAAATCTGGGAATGCTTTATGGATTCATACAAGGATTGCTTTGTGAAGCTGCTAACTAGAGAGAAGTTACTGTCAACTGGAAAGGTAGCAGAATTTTTTTTTTTTTTTTACTGAGTAGTTAACAGCCCTCAGGCAATAGCTTCTGATATAATGAGCTTCTGGAATAATGAGCAGTTATATCCTCCCCCCAAAAAGCAACAATATCTTGATTTTTTTTTTTTTTTTTTTTTTTGAGGTTAGCACCACCTCTCTCCTTGTTTGATAAATATTTATGCTGTCTAAAGCCTCCTGCATAGTTTTGTGCACATGAAATTTGCATGTGGCACTACTTTCTGATGTAGCTGGGAAATAAATACCCATCCTTATCTGGAGCTCTGCTTCATTCATCTTTCCAGAAGACATCTTCATGTTTTCCAGTACATCCTTCTTTCACTGCCCTGCAGAAACTCCTTTTGCCTGTGTACCATCTCTAACACTGGCAGCTTACTGTGTTAATAGGAAGTCAAAGGAGAATATAGTGATGCTGCTCTGAGATAAAAAACAAGTAGTAATAATCAGCTACGTGCTGGTAATAGATGTTCTGCCCTTTTAACAGTTAGTATTTTCATAGCACTATCTCAAAGCACTTTACCAATGTTAATTATGGTGATTTGATGTGAAAAACCACAGGTAGTGGTAGAAACTGCAAATCTGACCTGGAATGATGAAGCCAGTATTTGAGGGCAGAAATCAGTTGACCAAGGTCCTTGGGTCTTCAGATTGTTCTGGGATGTTGTTCTGGTTTTTAAAGGCATTCATTCTTCAAGAAAACAACAATCCCAAGTGATTTGTCCAGATTTTTTTCTTACCCTTGCATTTCCAAGGACCTTTTTCCAATTTGCTTAATTTTGGTTTTATATTGACTTGGGACTTGCACCGTGCTGTCTGGATTTAACCGGTAAAAGATATAGCTTGTAACAACCTCCTGATGCCCAGTGAAATCAGTGCAACTACAACGAAGGAAAATCATTGCTGTTTTTCAACACCAGTAACTCTGTCCAGTAATAATAAAACCTCTCTTCATAACAAATAAGAGCAACTTTGAGCTTAAAATGACATAAAGCTTCAGCATAAACACAAATCCTGCAGTTCTGAGGCAGCATCTGAGAAGCTGGTTCTCTGACAGCTTTGGTATCTGTTAGTCTCTAATTTTGGATCAGTTTTCTTGGATGAATTTTTCCCGGCACTAACAATGATCAGACACAATGTCTGGCTCCACACGCAGTAGCTGAACAGAAAGAAATGTTTAATTTTAAATAAAATAATTAAACTTGCCTTTTGGCTGCTGAGTCTTTCAGGTCGAATGGAACCACTGCTGTTCAGGATACCAAAGGAGGCAAATGGCTTTGCCTTTCCTTTATTCAATAGAGCAGACTGCTGACCTGGGGAGGGATGATGGAGGAGCAGGTTAAAAATATGATAATGAGAACAGTACTAGATAACTATGTACAGATTTAATAAATTACAAAAATGTATTTTCAGACAAAATGTCTTACAAATTGCCTTCAGTGGATCTCATTTAAAGTAATGGGTGAAGTAGAATGAAGAATTCAAAAGACCTTAAATTATTTGGATTTTATTTGTTTTATTTCTAGTCTGACCTTCCTGGCTTTGCTCTGCAGCAGTATAGGGCAGGACCCCGGTCCTACAGCTGCCCTTGCCTCTGCTGCTGCTCACACCCACGGCGAAAATAAAACCGGCAGAGAGGTGGCACATTGCTCGCTGTTGTTATCAGAGGCCAACAAAAGCTGGTCACTGCCAACAGCAATGATTTAACAAGTGTTTGGTAGCAGAAGCTTTAATTCATACAAGCTATTTCTTTAAAATTGTTTCCCTCTGGTTTTTTTTGAGCAAATAGTGATGTAATGGCACACATTGTATTTCCTTGCTGTTGGTGAGGATATGGTACACTTGTTTTATCTCCTGCTGCTGTTAGTGGTAAAACCTGAATGCCACAACCTGGTCTGACTTGCTGTGTCTCATGGTCAGCAAACAGCGTTTAAACTGTCAGATGGCCCTTGGTCCTTGTTTAGGACTTGTTCATCTTTGGACAAAATGTGATGGTGCCATTTCTGCAAGTGTTGAGCCTCTTCTTCCAAGTATAAGTGATTTCAGTGTCAAGTAGTGACACCTGTGATCTGCACCATTCTTGCAGAGTACTGAAATGAGTGCTCTTGATGACCTCTTAAAACAGCCACCTGGTGAAAGCCACTGGCAGATGGGGCTACAGGTTACAAAATCTCAAAGGCAGATGTTTCCCCAGGAATCTTCTGGAAGTAACTGCTCCAGTACAAGCAAATAAGGCAGGAGCAGGACTGGCTTTGTCCTGTACCCAGCTTTGGCAAGTGTGAGCTTTTTTTTTTTTAACCTGAATAATTCCAATTGGCACTGCTGGTAAACGGTAAGTGCGCTACGCTGCAGAGGCTGCTGCGGTTGGCTTTGATAAATCTTGCCTCTTCGGAGCAACAGTCACTAATTGAAGTTCAATTAATTACTAAACTGCCCCAGATGGGCTGCAGGGTGGGGTGTTCACAGCTTCTCCTGGGCTTTCCTGCACCAGGCTGAATCTCCTCTGGCTGAGTGGGGAGGGGGGGCCCCCCACGTCCTCCTTGAACTTTCTGGGTGGCCCGGAAGGAGGGCTGTGATTACCCTTCATCAATTAAACACCGAGACAGAGCTTTAAGGCTTAGTAAGGCTGATTATTAGTGCCAAAGCCAGCCTGCTGTCTTTGAACGTATGTCTAGGGGGGGCGGTAGCAAAACCCCCGTCCCCCGGCTGTCCTCAGGTGCCCGGAGCCTCACGGGGCCAGGGGACCCCGCTGGGACGGGGGTGCAGGGTGTCCGGGGAGGGGTGTCGCAGCCATCGGGCACCTCGTACCGCCCGAGCTTTTCCCGCAAAGTCCGGCGGGGGGCGGGGGGGGAGCAGAGCCGCTGGGCCCCCGCTGCCGGGGGCTGTAGTTCGCGGCCTTCCCCGGAGCCCGCCGGGGACTACATTTCCCATCGCCCCGCGCAGGGAAGGGAAAGGCCGGGCCGGGCCTTCCCAGGCCAGGCCGGGCCTTCCCGGGCCGGGCCGGGCCTTCCCGGGCCGGGGGAGCCGCGGCCTCCTCGGGGGAGTCTCCCCCGCGGCTACAGGGACGGGACGCTGTGAGTACGGGGCCCGGGGTGCTGCGGGCGGGGGGCCCGGGGTGCTGGGGGTCGGGAGGGCAGCGGGTGCCGTGGCAGCCGGATGCAGAGAGGCGGGGGTGGAGAGCGGGGGAGCCTTTCATCCTGCTTACACCGCGAGAGGTGCGTGCACCCCTCACCTCCAGCACCGATTTTTTATTTTTTTTTTTTTTTTTGTGGGGGGGGTGGGCCGCAGCAGCCGCCGTCTCGCTTGTTTGAGATCCCCTGGGTGCTCCAGACCCCAAGAGATGAGGTTTCCTTCCCCCTAGCCCCCCCTGGGGTGTTTGCCGGGCTTTGGGCAGAGCAGGAGCCACCCCGTGGGGTCAGCATGCGCGTGGGGCAAGGCAGGTGGTGCTTGCTCCCTCTTGGGCTATTTTGCAAAGCGATTCCTTGCTGTTGGTGTGATGTTCCCCGTGTCAAACTGCTGCAGGAGTGCAAGACTGTTTGGGGGAACGGGGAGTTGTTTTTAAGATTCAGATTGAGCCTTATTTAGAGTTGCTTGGAGTGGTCCAAGGGGCATGGAGACAGCCTGGCAGGCTGCAGAGGGGCCCTGAACAGGAGAGAGAAATCTCTTTAAGAGAGGTGCTGCTGGCCATAACAGCAAATCAAGAAATCTTCCTCTCCCTGCAGGTAGGAGGTTGGTGTGGATGTGATTGATGGTGTTAAAACACCCTGCAACGTGGAGGTGAGAAGAATCTGTAAACACCCTTGCCAGAGCAGGGGAAGGCTGGGACTCTGCGATGGTGAGTGTGATACGGTACTAAGGCAGGCTTGGGAAATCTGAATTTCATTCTCACGCACCTCTGTTTGGAGGCAGAAGTGATCCCGAGGGCTGGAGGCTTCTGCCCAGCAGGCAGTCAAGAAGGGCTGGGCTCACTGCTCTCTAAAGTTGTAAATATCTCTGTGGTTCCCCTGCATTTCACGTGGCACTTCCCAAACAGCGTGGGCAGGAGGAGGGCTTCGTTGTTGCTTATGGGATGCTTTGGAGAAACCTACCTCTGGCTTTAACGTGACTTGAGAAGGTCCAGACCTGCTTAATTTTCTAATGAGGGAATTTTTCTTTCTCCATAGGCTACAAAACCCAAGAAAAGTATAAGAGGTACGTACACTTGCATGCATTCCTTTCACTGTTTATAGGCGCTCTGATCTGCTGGGAGCACATGGGAGAGAGGATGGGGGACAGTGGGATGAGGTGGCAGTCCTGGCTACTGAAATGTTTCATGGTCCTTGTCTGGAAGATGCAGTTGAGTGCATCGTATCATTCCTGAAACAGAGATATTCACCTGCCTCTCACACTGAGTGGATTTGCTTACTGGAGTCCTATATTCCTTTCCTGTGGGCTTTCCCAAATCCAGGGGAGAATAGATGCGTTTATGTCAGTTCTTCCCTTTATTTAATCCCTAACTGCTTGTTTGGAGGCCTCTTGCAGCCCCTGATACTGAAGCAGGGCTTTTGGGGTTGCCCAGGGACTCTGAGGTACTGTGGGGTGAGAGCTCACAGATTAAGTGCTGCTTGTGGCCAGTGACTAACTGAATAGGAAGCAGCTGGCCCACTTGATAAAGAGATCCCATTTCTGGCTAAGTGAAGCAAAAATTTTTATCCATAAAATACTGCATCAAGTCCTGTCAGTTCTCTCTAGACTGGTGAGGAAGGCTTTACACTGGTGATGCTGAGCCTTTATTCTTGGGGTATTTCAAAAGAGCGAGCCATATTGAAATTGTGTGCTTTTCTACACCTGCTTGGTGGTCTCACCTGCCTCAACACCTTTAATTTGTCTCATTTCAGACTCCATTGATGATGTGCTTGGTGACCTCCTGGGATACGATGGTAAAATGAACATTCTTTGGAGCTGAAAGAGCAGCATGCTTATACTCTTACTTCCTTCTTGGGAGCAAGAGGTGCTAGTGCAGCAGCCATTGACCTGTGAGGGTGGATGAAGCAGAGAGCAGTATGGAGAGCAGGGTTTCCCAGAGTCAGAGGCCATTGAATAGGCTGGACATCAGCTTGGGGAGGTGAAGTGAAGTTCATCTCTGATTAAAAGCCTCTGTGGCTCATGGGGAGACAGTAAATCCCCCCTTGGAGTGCCTAGGTCAGGAATATGCCTGTGTCCATCATCCTAATGTCTCCCTGTCATGTTTCCAGATGAAAGCCCTGTTAAATCTGCCAGAACTTCCAAGCTGGCCGGGGGCAGCGTTGGGAAAGCCCGGGGCACCAGCTCACAGGCCAGCAAGAAGTGAGTGCCTTTCAGACACAACCTCTCCCTCTTGGAGATCTATCTGTGCTCCCCAAGTCCTTCTGAGCTGCCCCATCCTTGGCTTCTCCACCTCACTCCTTGACCTGATAGCAATTGCCTGGGAAGGCGAGTTACCTGTGATGCCTTTGGGAACTGGGAGCCCAGAGCCTGAAGCTTTCCAGCAAGAGTTGGGTGCCCCCAGCCCAGCACATCTTCTGTAAATCTCCCTTATAACAGTTGCTTGCTTAAATATAGCAGCCCTAACACTACCATCTTTTATCCTGGTGCTATTTTAGCCTCATTTTCTGTTGTGTGATGTGGCTGCTGCAGCGTGCCCATGTGGTTGCCTCCACCTCCCACCACTTGGCTTCGGCTGTCCCCAGGGCACCCTTGCTGAGCTCACATGTGGTGCTGCTAACCCTTGTGTCACAGGTCCTTTCTAGAGGATGATTTCTTCAGTAAACTCCATGCAGAGGACATTGAAGCTGCAGAGGTGAGCCTGAATTTGGGGCGAGGGCTTGGGTATCCTGAGGGCTGAGACTGAGCCAGGCCAGGCTCACCCCTGCTGTCACCCCATTCAAGTCAGCAGTGGGGTATCAGGGATGAACGATGAAGTCTGGCTGCAGAGGTGACCCCTCTCTGGCATGGCTGTGGGGTGGGGAAGGTGGGACAGGGAAGTGGGTGGATGGTAGGAGAAGGTTTCTGGGTGCCCTGGATGAGATGGAGCAAAGCCAGGGGGCCACGTTGTACTGCAGCCCAGCCTTGCTGGGTCCGCTTCGGATGAAGTGTCATAGGATCGACCCTTATGCAAAACAATGGCCTTGGTGTTCCTGATGCTTCTCCCAGAGGTAGCAGGATCTCAGCAAAGGAAGCAAGGCACAGGGCACAGTGAGGGGGACACCAGGAGGAGTCGGGCGTGTATTTTTCCATTCCAAAAATTTAGGAAGAAAAGGGGCTGGAGTGTGGAAGCGAGGGGTCAGGAGTTTCCAAAGTCTGCTTGTCTCTGATCTCTGCTCTCCTTGGCATGCAGGGATCCAGTGCCTCTGACACAGACCCACAAGCTCTGCTGCAGACCCTGAAGGTAAGTTCATAAATACCCTTCATCCCAGCCCCACAAGTGCTGCAGCCACAGCCTCCAGCACCAGCCTACAAAGGGAGAAGCAGCGTGGAGGCATGAGCAGCACTCATCCTGCTCTTGTCCTCGTCCTCTTGCTTTCTAGGATATGGATGACATGGAAGCTGATCTCCTGGGAATATCAAAACCCAGTTCTGGGCCAGGAAAGACAACCATGAACGGTCCTGGGAAATGTGACTCCTCGGGAGGAACAGTAAAAGCTGCAGGGAAGCTGCCAGCTCCTGAGAAAGGTAAAAAAGGAGAGTGTGCTCTTCTTTTCACAGCCTGGTTCCAAATGAGCAGGGGCATTTTCTTCCACGATAGCTACAACAGCCACGCTGCCACCTCCCACCAAACACAGTTTGGCCGTTCCCTGGTGCAGGTTAAAGACCAGTGATCTGCCTGGTCTGGGTGGAAGGAGGGCCAGAGGGATGTATTTAAAATATGCCAGTCCCCAAACTGTCCTGCTCTTCCCCAGACCCTTTTCTCCTTCTCTGCTTGCAAGGAGGCCCCTCCAGAGAGATTCCCGCTCCACAGGGCTGGGAGGGGATGGTGGGTCACAGCATGTGCTTTTAGGGAACTGCCACCAGAAAAGTGACCTTCAGCCAGGGTGGGAAAGGGACATCTCTGCAGTACCTTGTCTCTGAGAGCTGTGGGCTCTTTCTAGGAGAGTCTGTACCTGCGATGGAAAAGAAGCCACTCTCATCATCCCCTGCTTCCCGACAGTACAAGAAATTTAACTTTGAAGGTAGGATGTCGCTTCACTTCAGCACATAGATGCACAGGGGCAGCTGAGGACTTTGTCCTTGCTCTTTGCCTGTAGCTTGCCTCTTCTGTTATTCAAAGGCTTGGCTGGTTAATGAGAAACAGAGTCCTTTACCCCTACAATGGCAGTGCAAATCTAATGCCTTAGAGGTGACCAAAGGGAAAAAAAATGACTGCTTAGTGTTTGAGGACCTCCCCTGGATGGGGCTGGGAAATGGATGGTTCCTGAGTGTATTTGCTTTTTCACCTGTGCTTTGGTTTTTAATGACTGTTTGTAGCAGTTGGAGACCCTTGTATTGGGGAGGAGGGGATTCTGTCCACCTTCCAAACAAGGAGGCTGGTTTCCTGGCACAGCTGAGATCTGGTTGTCAGAGCCTGTGCTTTAATCAAGATCAGCATCTGTTAAAATCATTAATTGTTTTTAGGTGATTTAGGTGGGCTTTCTTCTCTCCCTTTTCATTGCTAAACAGTGGTCAAGTGTTAAAGCATCCAAATTTGGGGTTATTTTCTTCTAGGTAGAAAGTAAATATGGAAAAAATTAACAGAAATGTGGCTACTGAGTGTTTGAAGTTCAGGGAGACTCAAGGGTATCCCAGGTCTGTACAGAATCTGTGTTCGTGGCTTTGGGTACATATGATCTCCTGTCCCCATGTGCATATGGTGGGGAGTAGTGTTTGGCTTAGCACAGAACTGTTCTAAATAATGTTGGTTTTGTTGTTTTGTTTTGGTTTGTTTTTTTATTATTCTCCTTTTCTGCCCCCATGGGATAATTCCCACATTTAGATGATCCTTTGTCAGGGCTTTTGTCTGATGAAGAGCGGAATGCTCCCAAGAAGCAAGCTCCAACAGGCACTAAAAGCAGCTCTGAGAAAAAAACAGAACAGAGCAAAGAGAAAGGTAAGCAGGGTTGCTTGATGTATCCTCTTTGTATTAAATGAATTGGCAGCTTGGAATAGTTTGTGTGATGCCCAAACATTAAATTGAAAGCCACCTAGTCACATCTTTTATTAAACAATATGGTCATTTATAGACCAACTTGGTAACGGGGTTAATTGTGACACAGCTTACCAAGTGCTTAATATTTTCAGTGTGCTACAGGTTACAGAACTGACCTTTAATTTCTGGGAATGGAGTCTCAGATCTTACCTTTGAGCTCATCCAGCCTGTTCTCTACCTTGCCAAATGAGAAGAAGTTTTCTGGGTCAGAATTTGGATGGCTGAGAGCATCACTGGTCCATGCCAAACCACAGTTGGGGCACCTCTGGGTGGGATCCAGCTGCACTGTGACTGAGTTACAGGCACTAATCTGTCTTGTTGCTGCAGCAGGGACACTAATGGATCTGATAGTCCCCTAAAATCTCCTTTCACCCTGATAAATCCACTCTGGATGCAGGTAGCAGATGGTGGGTTAGGGCAAGAACTGAGGTGCATTGGTGGAACAGGGACTTTGGGTGAAGGTGGGCAGCAATTATCTGATTGGAAACTTGCAAAGCTAAAAAAGCTCCTGGTGTTTGCCAGAGCTGGAAACCCCAGTGTTAGTGACACCCAGCAATGACATCCAGTCACTGGATGCACGGCCACAGCCCAGGCAGTAGCAGTGTGTTGCCACTTTGCCACTTGCTGTGAGATTTGGTCACTGAAAAGAATTATTTTAAAATGACTTTGTAAATGGTCCTGAGAGATAAGAGCAAGCAGGGCTGCTTTGGTGTCTTGTTTAAAAAAAAAAAAAAAAAAAAAAATGCCCTGATCAAACTTCCTACCATGTGTGATCCCACTCACAGAGCCACCCCCACCCCAGACGCCCCTGCATGTGGTGGCCCCAGTCCGGAGGAGGGAAGAGCTCACGTTTGAAGATGATGGTGACGACCTGATGGATGCACTGGGATTTGGCAATGGCCCGAAAGGAGATGAGAAGCAGGGAAAGAAGGCAGAAGAGTAAGGGCAGTGAAGAGGCAGTGGGAGTAAAGGGGAGGATGGCTTGTGCATTGAGGTGGTGTCACCACGCTGGGTGGGGAATGCTGGAGGTTCTGCCTGTGGGTCCAAAAAAGGGGCAAGAGCAGCCTGGCAGGGCTGTGTGATGAGGAACAGTCCTGCCTCTTGGAAAAACCCATCTGTGGCTGTGTCCCCAACAGAGAGGAGCTCCGGCCAGCCCGCTCCAAGCTAGACGAGTTGCTGGGACGAGGCTCTGTGGCCAAAATCCTGGAACAGCCAAGTGTGGGAGAGTGTAAGGAGTTCAAACTGGACAAGAAGTACCAAAAGCAACCGGGTGAGCACAAGCTGGGAGGCTGGGAAGGTCTGTGGAGGTGGCAGTGTTGGCTTGGGAGAGCAAGATTGATTTCGAATGCCCTGGCAGGGGAAATACCCTTTCTGTGGTGGTGAGCACGGTTGCTAATGGGCTCTCCGTGTCAGGGGGGGAAGGTGGCTAATGCAGAAGTGTTGTATTCTGCTCTTGAGGCAGCCTGGGAGCATTTCCACAGTAGCTGTAACCCAGTTGCCTTTGGACGTGGGCTGATTCCCAGCAAAAGCTTTTCCGAGGCACACTGCAGGTTTCTGGGGAAGACACTTCCAGCTGTGTTTTCCCAGAGGCAGCAATCCTGGTGGGAATTGCAGGGGAGAAGGAGGGCTGGTGTCTTTGCAGCCAGCTGCTCCTCTGGGCGCTGACTCAAGGCTGCTTGTCTGAACAGAGAAGGAAGAGGGTTGGGACAAGGAAGATTTTGTCTTTGGAGCCTATCAGCCCACAGTGGCCTCCACGCTTGAGGGCCGGCCATCGAGGAGGCAGTCTGTGAGGTATTATACTCTGTGTGTGTCTGTAGCTCCAGCCACCGGCCACACTGCCCCTGCAGCAGAGCAGACAGGGTCCCCAGGGTCCCCTCACAGGCAGGTATGTGACTGCTTTTCCTTGCAGCAGGTTTTCAGCTGAGAACAGCAGTGAACTGAAACCAGAGCCCCGCTCCAAACCTCCTCCTCCAGCCAACCGGAGCCCTGTGCGGGGCAGCAGGGCTGGAGGCGACTGGTTGGGCTTGAAAGATGAGGATTTTATGGACTCGGAGCCACCGTCTCCAGTGAAGGCCAGTCCTGCACTGAGCTACCCCAGCCCTGCTGCAGCTGGGCGGCCCAGCCCCACCAGCCAGCTCCCAAATGCAGAGGAGGCAGCACCTAAACCCGACCCACTGGAGGAGGAGAACTGGCTGAGCGCTGCCTTGTCTCGCAAAAAAGCACAGGCAAAGGCCCAGGAGAAAAATACCAAGCCCTCGGAGGCCCCAGGTGAAGGACTGGATCCTCACTCTCCTGTCAGGTAAAGGCATGGTTGGTGGCCGCAGCACTCCCGTCTGCTCCACATGTAGCTGCTCCAGCAGAACCTCTCAGAAACCCTCAGCTCAAATTTAAGAAATTAATTTTAAGTGCTGTCTTGTCTCAGGTTGGGGTAATAACGTGGGGCTTTCTCCCACTACCCAGTCCGCAGCCCCATCGCACCTCTGGGCTCTCCTTCCAGTTGTAGCCAAGATTCCACACACTACCCCGGGTCCTGCAGCGCTGTCGTGGATCAGCACAACCCCACGAGCTCCCACCCTGTGCTCTTCATTCCTGCCTTCATTCCCATTTTTTCCTCCTAGTTCCAGGCAAACCACCGCCTCCAGTTGAGTTTACACAGACACATGTTCAGACTTTTGCCATTGAATTGGACTCAGAAGTGAATTGCAGACAAACAGCCCTGTGGCGTGGGCAGGGGTGTGTTAGCTGGTGCTGCTGCTGCCCAGGGGAAGGTGGTGGGTACAGCAAGGAGGAACACTGGTGATGGAGGTTTTGAGGTGTCTTTGCTCCCTCTGCAGCCAAAAGGCTGAATCCTGCCGCAGCTGAATGGGATAGAGGTTTTCACCTGCGAGGCAGGAACTGGTGTTGGGGGAAAGGGTCTTGTCTTTCATCACCTCCTCGGCTCTTCCACATAAGATGCTTTTTGCTCGCAGCCAGCCAGCAGTCCCCACAGGAGCACCACAGCAGGCAGCTGCCCCGCAGGACAAGGCAGCGAGCGCAGACGGCTCTGGGTAAGGCCACCTTCACCTTTCAGGCATCCTTCACAGGAGAGATGTCCTGCAGAAAGCAGCTGAGTGGGTGAGATGGAGGAAGAAGGAGGGCTGATAGCCAGCAGTGGTCACATTGGTCTGGGACCTTTGTAACTGGGAGGGCAGGCAGCTCTGAAGGATAGTCAGGCTCTTGCTTATCTGGTCACAGTGGGACAGCAAAACTTTAAACTTAAAGAAATGCCAAGCAGGATAATGTCTGTGCGCCTCTCCCTGAGCTGCAACACTGCTGTGCATCACTCGTGTCTCTGTGTCCATGCAGGCAGCTGGTCCCTTGGCTCAGCACCACGAAACAAGCCTCAGCTCACCCGTTGGAGGCTGCGAAGGGGGACCCCTCCAGAGATGCCAGTGCCTTGGGTGCGTTTTGTGTGGTACAATTCGGGCAGCAGTATGCAGAGAGGGTCCCCCCACCCTGCAAAAACAGCAAATAAAAAAAGCAGGAGCCACAGCATCGCCCTTAGCCATGTGAATGCTGCCCAGGCTTTGACCAGCCGTTGTCAGAGCGGTCTGCCAAGCTGCAGGATCCCACCATCCCCATTTCGTGGTGTGGTGGGGACATCGTGCTGGGGTTCACTGAGCTCCACAGTGCTGCTTTTGGGGTTTCAGAGGGCTGCAGGAGACTTGCTCTCTCTGAGCAATGGGTGGGTGTAAGTTCATGCTGTCCCTTCTCTGTCCCCCTTCCCTCCTGCTGCCCCCACACGTGTCCCACTAGTGCTGTGTGCTGGAAGACCCCTCCTGCCTGAGGCTGAGGCTGTGGCTTAGGGGACCCAGCCTCCTCCCTAGTTGATGGAGGAGGAGCCATGCTTTGCCCCCAGAATTACTCTGCAGAGCAGAGTCCCACCATTGTACAGGGGGAGGGGTAGGGGTGTGGGTATGGACAAGCTTGTCTGACCCTCCATCCCCATCACCAGCCACCAGAGTGGAGCAGGACATTCCTCACTCTACCCAGGAGATACAGGCCCTCATCCTTCTGTGAGGGAAAGGTTCCCATTGCCATGTCTGAATCACAGACTTACTCAATTTTCGGTCTCCACAGCCTTGTTCCCAGGAGAGCAGGAGATGCAGGGCCCTGTCCCGCTCACCCAGGTAGGTCTGCTGGGCCTGTGCCCTGAGAGGTGCAGGATCAGGGTGGTGATTGTGAGACCCCCCCTGCCGACTCACCCTCATCCAACTCTGTCCGTGCTCCCTCAACAGAAGGAAGGATGTGCCCCACTTTGCATCTCCGGGAGCCCGTGTTCATGAAGGCCAAGTATTTGGAGAGCCCCTAGATGCCACAAGTTGTATTTACCAGGCCAAAGCTTGTGTGCTATGAATGCTTTGTAAATCATGTGCATTTACAACCCTGCATTGCCTGAGCAGCATTTACATAGTTCCTCAGGCATATATATATTATATTAATTAGACATCAGAGGGTCCAGTTGATAAAAGGACTGTTGCTTTAGCTGTTTTTCCCCAGTATGGTGGTGAAGGTGCTCTGAGATTGTTTCTAGGCAACTGAATGGAAATCAGAGCCTCTCACAGAGAGGGCAGCTCTTGCTTGGTCTTGGAAGCCTCCATTTCTCATCTGTCTGGGCCTCCTCGCCCTGCCCTGGTGGCAGGACACATGCAGTCTCCCAGGAGACTCGTCATCTTATCCTTGAGTCTGTCCCCGGACAAGGAAGAGCCCAGCATGCCTGTGCTTGGGGTAGGGGCTGCTGAGCATCACCAGGGGAGAATGGACCCAGGCCAGCAATGGGGTTGGGCTGGAGATGGGTAGAGGAGGGACTGCAGTAGGCTGGGGACGGATCACCATTCCCAGGCTAGGAGGAGATGTTCTCTCCAGGGCTTCACCTCCCTGAGAGCATCCCTGTGTCTCCGCAGGTTACCACGCCCAGGGCGCATCTCCAGGCCGTGCCCCAGCTGCAGGTGAGGCTTGTGCCTTCCTTTGGGGGCTGATGGCCACACCATAAAGCCACTTGATCCTAAAGGGCCTTGATCTTCTCACCTGTAGGCAGACTCCCCAGCCCTGGGCTTGCTGCGTGAGAGGAGGTTGGGGGCTCCCACTGCCCGGCTCTGCGAGGATGTGACGGGCTGTCAGGCAGCGCTGCTCAGTGCCCAGGCCCGCGTGGCAGAGCTGGAGAGCCAGGTGAGCCCCATCACCTGCTGCATGGGGGACCATGGGTGACTTGGGGGGGAGGAGAAGGGGCCACATCTGTTCCACGTGGCATCAGGGTGACAGGGGAGAGAGGAGAAACCTCCCTATCCAGAGATCCATGTGGCTACCAAGTGCTGTTGTGGGAGCTCTGTCCCCTGGGCAGCACAAAAACCTCGCTGGGTGTGCTGCAGGTCCGGACACTGGAGCTGGAACGGACACAGCACAAACTGTTGCTGGAGAGTCTCCAGCAGCGGCACCAGGAGGACTTGGATCTTCTCGAGAGCGCCCACAGGTACGAGGCTTTCGCCTGTGCTCTGTCAGGTCCCTGCCTACAGCCCTGGGCATCACCCCTGGGGTGGGAACACTGGTGCACTTCCCAAATCCATCCCTGGGGTGGGCCAGCACAGAATCACGTTGATGTGGACCTGGTGGAGGCAGAGAGGAGCCCCACGGGTGAGCCACGGTGGGGATCCACTCTCACCAACACTGTCCCAGGGGTGGTGACAAGGAGAGGAGGGGCCAGTCCCATTGCTAGCACGTCCCCAGCCAGGGCACGGCACCGGGCAGTAGCGGGAGGGTTCAGGGCTCACACTGCAGAGAGCCTGCGTGTTTCCCCACGCACACAGCAACACCAACCTGCTCCTAAATCCCCGTGCACGCTTTGGGTGGAAAGCGCTGGGTATTGCTATGGAAGTAGCACTTCTTCCTGGCTGTGACCTCTCCGGGCAGGAGCCGGGTGAAGGTGGTGGAGGAGACCTATGGGCAGCGGGAGGAGAGGCTGCGGCAGGAGAAGGAGCAGCTGGCAGCTCAGCTCCTTTCGCAGAGCAAGGACGCGGAGCAGGCGCGGGCAGAGCTGCTGGGGCAGCACCAGCAGCACTTGGCTGCGCTGGAGCAGCAAAGCACACTGGAGCTGGAGCGGCTGCGAGAGCTGCAGAGGTGAGTGGCACGAGCAGCACACACATGGGGTTAGGACCCCTGGTCTCAGCAGAGGAATCTGAGAATGGTTTGGGGACACAGGGAAAAGGGAAATCAGGCTCCAGAAGTACTGGGTTGTGGGCAGCTCAGTGGCTTTGGGAATGGGGATTTGCTCTGTAGGTGGACGCAGGGAGATCTGGCTAGAGACATCATTTCAGAGTGAATGCACTGTATTTTGAAATGCTGAACCCAGTGTTTTATCTCCCCCAAACCCCTTTTATTCAGGTCAGTGAGTCACTGATGTCCATGTAGTTTGGGTCAGAGACATCAGTTTTTGGTAGAGAAGCCCCTAATCCCCAGATGTGGTCCATCCCAAATGTGGGTGCCTGTCAGCAGGATGCCCTGTGACAGACCACCATACCGGCTCAGCTCCTGGGACCTGGTTCTCAGCCCCTTGACCCAGCCTTTTCCATAGTGCCCATCACAGGAACACCAGTTTGTAACAGCCTGTGCCGGGCTCCTTCCCCGTGTCCTGCAGGGTGTCTGTCCAGGAGATGCGCAAAGACCACGCAGAGCAGCTCGAGCGGCTGAAGCGGCTGAAAGACCAGGAGATTGATGCGGTGACCAGCGCCACTTCGCACACCAGGTACTGATGGCCAGCATCGTTTCCCCACATCGGTGCTTGGCCACGATGTTCCCTGTCCTACGGGGAATCAGCATCCAACCAGGGCAGTAGAGGCCATCCCCTCTCCTATCCCCTGCCCCCAGAGCTGTTTGATAGCCATCAGTACTCCCTGAAGCAGCAGCTACATCTTCCTACCGCTCTGCTATGCCCCGGAGAGGTTCGGGCTGGGGCTGCCCGGCCTTTGGCTCACCACACATCCCCCTCTCCATCGTGGTGAGATGAAGTGTCCCCCCACAGGGGTGACCCTCCCCTCGATCCTCTCCGCAGGACTCTGAATGGCGTCATCGAGCAGATGGAGAAGTTCTCCAGTGACCTGCACGACCTCTCGCACAAGGTGGAGGCCACACACCACACTACCTCCCAGGAGCTGGCCATGGAGGCACGGCAGCGGGACAAGCAGCTCAAGGGTACGTCTGCCATTCCTTTGTGCTGCAACCTCTGCAGGGTCCCCGCCGGGGCTGGGGGCACCCAGAAAACAGGGAGAAGTTTCCTTGAGTCATCCAGAGGCTGGGAGCCAAGTCTGGCAGAGCCTTGTCTGCCTTTGCCACTGGATATCTCAGGGTCTTCTCTTCACAAAACATCATCCTGGGGATGTGCAGAAAGTGATGAGCACAAACGCATGCAGTTTTTCTGTGAAAATGTGGACAGAGCGGGGCTTCCCTCTTCATGCTGCTCACAGCCCTCCTGCTGTCTCTCCCCAGTGCTCCAGGACAGCCTGTTGCAGCAGCAGCGGGACATGGAGGAGGAGCGGAGTCGACTCCAGGAGGTGATCAGTAAAATGGAGGCTAGGCTGAATGAGCAGACTCGGCTGCTGGAGCAGGTGAGCCCACACTGTGTCCTCTGCTCGGGTCAGCCCTCCTGCCTGGGTGTGGGGCATAAGTCTTGCCCACTGGAGGTCCCTGGCCTGGAGTCTGTGCATGGCATCTGTGTCTCCTCTGTGTCTGAACCCAGGAGCGGTGGAGGGTGACAGCAGAGCACTCCAAAGTGGAATCACTGCAGCACTCGCTGGAGGAGCAGCGGCGAGTCATGACTCAGAAGCTCTCCATAGAGCGAGCAGAGATGGAGAGGGCAAAGGTGAGGTGGAGCAAACATCTCCAGGTGCTTTTCACATGTCCTGTGAGTCTGACCGGGGCTGCATTGTGGTGAGTAGTGGAGGAAAAAGCTGGGTGCTGGGCTACATCACCCTTCCTCTGCCTCCTCAATCCCACACCCAGTTGCACTGTAAGTCACGATCAGACCAGCCCTCTGGCTCATGATTGCAAGAGGCTTCTGTGTGTGTGCATGATGCACGCTGGTGTGTGCATGGAGCCAGAGCTTTCCACTCTGGATTCACACCAGGTGCCATGGGCTTGAATCAGCCTCTAGATGTTGTGTGGGGTTAAAGGAGAAAAACCCTATGGCAAATGGGACTTGGTGCTTTCTCTCTCCCTCTCTGGCGATGCTTCTCAGAGTGCTTTGCTGGAGGAGCAGAAGTCGGTGATGCAGAAGTGCGCGGAGGAGCGACGGAAGCTGGCGGCCGAGTGGGCTGAATTTCACACCCAGCAGCAGCTGAGCAAGGAGCGGATGGAGCGTGACATGGACCGAGCCCTGCAGAGAGACTCCCAGAGAGAGGGCACCATCATGAGCCTGGCCAAGGTACCGCAGCAGAGCCCCTTCCCGTGGCCTCCAGCACCGCCTTGGCAGGCTCACGGGTGGGTCCTGCCTACAGGAGAGACATTCAGTGGTTTAAGGCAGAGTCGTCACTCGTGCTGGTGAGAATCAGGCTATTCCAGGAACAGCCTCCACCAGCCTGTTTTAGATGTTGACTGAAGCATAGGTCGCCTCTGTCTCTTCCCTTTTGCCTGCGAGGAGTTTGGGCAGCCAGACCAGGCGCAGTCGCCTCTGTTGTAAGTCTGGTGAGAGGAAAGCCCCATGGTGACTTAAGCAAAACCTCCCTGTGCTATGGGGTTGTGTCCAGAGCCAGTTCTGCTCCCACCTGAGGCTGTCCAGAGGGGATATGTGGCACAGACAGTGCAGCAGAGCTGCATTTTTAAGGGCTACCAGGGTGGAAAATAACCACTCAGGCTGGGTATTTCCACTGCTGACAAACTGCTGTGCCTTGAGCATGTTTTAGGGTGTGCATTGTGGTGAGGGGCTCCATCCTTCTCAGGGTAGGAGTGTGTGTGTGTCTGTACAACCCCAGCTCTGCCAGGCCCTAGTCCCCAAGCGTGAGTGGCTGAGGGTACCACTTAAATACCTGGTGGTGTTGCTCCGCTTCCCAAACTGGCACACACGAGAAGCTCAACAGGTTCAGATATTTCCCATCACTTGGGAAGACATGAGAGAGTGTCCAGGACGGGGCAGGTAATGCATCAGTTTCTCCTGTGCCCATCATAGGAGCAGGCAGAGCTGAAGATCCGGAGCCATGAGCTGAAAGCCAGGGAGGAGCAGCTGGCGAGGGACAGGGAGCTGCTGGACGAGGCCTGGAAAGAGCTGAAGCTGGAGAAAGAGAAGGTGAATGGAGCTGTGCTGCGTGTCCAGCAGCAGGAGGAGGAGATTAAAAGCACGACCAAGGTAAGCAGAGCATCCATGCTGCAGCTCGCAGCTGTACACAGGCTGGCAGCAAAGCTGGGGTTTCACACACACACACACCCCCACACACCCCAAAGTTGTGAATCCTAATCCTGTCCCGGGAGCGGAGTAAGGGGATGCACAAAGGGTCCCTGTCCCCCAGCCTCACCAGCTGCTCTGCCTTGCAGCTCTCATCCCAGAAGTATGAGGAAGGGGAGCGAGCCCTGCGGGAGGCATGTAGAATAGAGTCCGAGCACCAGACCAGGCTGCAGGTCATGCAGCAGCACTTGGAGCAGCTGAAGCAGCAGGAACAGCATCTCCACCAGGCAAATACACCCTCGCCTTCCCTTCTCGGCCTGGGGCTGCCATGCCAGCAGCCTGAACCTTTGCCAACAGCTTCTCTCTCACCCTTTCTCCCGGGGCTGGGACAGGAGCGGCTGAGCATGGCTCACCAGAGGAGACAGCTCGAACAGCTACGCAAGGAGCTGCCCACCAACCCTGTCATGCTGCTGACTGCAGACCAGGACTTGAGCACCCCTATGAAAGGCCTCTCCAGCATGCTGTGTAAGGCTTTCTGCATGCTACTGGTGGGAAGGGACATGCTAGGGGGGCAGCTGCACTTGTATTCTACTTCTAAGGAGGCTTAGGATGTTCCTGGGGGCTGTTTTACTTCCCCTGTGTATAAACTTCAGATGTGAGTTGGCCGCCTCATCCTCTGAAGGAGCTCAGTGAAGCTCTCTGAGCTAGGACAGTGCCAGGAGCAGGTAGAGGGGCCAGAAAGGGAGAGGCAGGTGGGTTAAAGTTTGTGTGCACTGGGAGGTTGGGGAAGACCCTGCTGCAGGGACATACAGACAGCAAAAAAGGGGTGCTGTGTTATCTCTGTTTGCAGTTCCTGTAACAGCAGCACCACCACACAGTCGGGCTCTTGTTCCAGGCTTTCCGCCTCCCATCAGGAGCCCGGGGGATGGCAGAGGAACCCTGGCCATGGCTGGCGCCACCGAGCTCTACGCCAAACTGCTGCTGCTGAAGCACAGAGCCCAGCAGGTGAGGTGGTGGGAGACTGGGGATGGAAGGGGCTTCAAACCAGCTGGGTGGGAGCAGGGCTGGGTGAAGCCTGATTTGAGCCTGATAGCCACAGGGTATGATGTGTCCTGAGATCATTACTGAGCTGAAGGGCTGGGCTGGCTTGTAGAAGCCCTGGGCACCTAGAGGAGTGATACGAGAAGCAAGGACGGGTCATCACAGCTTGTCTCAGGTTCATCGATAACATCCTTGGCTCCATGAGGTTGCCCCTCTCCTCGCCCTGTCCCTGGGTGGGAGAAGACAGCTCTGCTTACTCTCTGGTTTTGTGATGTTCCCATCCTCTCCTGTCAGCCCCTGCTCCCCTGCTGGGTCCTTCCCCAGGCAGGGATGCTCTTTGAGGCTTTGGCTGCGAATCTCAGAGTGTGAGGTTATGGGCTCTGGGGGGAAGTCCATACACCCCAGGGGTACCACAGATGCGTACCTGCCCACTGCGTGAAGGAGGGTTTGGGATACTTCCCTCACTCATGAGCAACACCCTGGACTGTGGCCCTGTTTCTGTGGCACTCTGATACACATCCCGTCCATCCCTCTCTTGACAGGACCACGATTTCTTAGAGGATGAGCAATTTTTCCTGGAGACCCTGAAGAAAGCATCCTACAACACTTCATCTCTGTCAGACTGAGGAGGTGGCATCCCCAAGCGCTACCCAAGGGATGGCTGTGTCCTTCCTAGCAGGAGGCTGCTGTGCCTTCCACAGAGGGGAGGAAAACAAAGAATAAATAGTTCCTCAACTAAGAACTGGGATTATCTTTCTTTAAAAGCCGTCTGGGAGTGTTTGGAGTGTGAAATCCATCCCTACAGGCTCTGAAGCCGCAGTTTGTCTGGCCTCCATCCCTCAGGGCGAGTGCCACTGGCCACCCTGTGGGCACTGCAGGGAGGATGACTTTGGGGTGGGTGCAGTCGGCCATGGACGTGTTGGCATGGCTCTGGGACAGGCAGCTGCCCTCCGCAGGACTGTGGCGTTGGGGGGATCACGGGGCTTTGGCCAAGCAAAGCAGAGCTGCCGTGGCTTTGCACTGGGGCTGTGCTGAGGCTCATCGGCACCCTGAGAATGTTCCACAGCTCACAGGCACCTCTATGTGGCGTTTTGGGTCTTTTTCTGAGGAAACCTGGTGTTTGGGCTTCACCTCCCCTCCCTGCTGCCCCGGGGTGCCAGCGAGGGCCACTCCGCCTCTTCCAGCGGGATATGCCCGGCGACAGAGGAGCAAGGGCGGAGGTGGGGAAGGAGGGCCCGATCCTCTGAGGATGTAGTGACGTTTCTAGCCAGGCGCTGCGCGGGGCAGCCCCGTTGCTATGGCAGCGCGGGGGCTTTCCACGGCACGCCCTGCGCGGCGCGGCTCCCGTCGCTAAGGAAACGGGGGGCCTTCCACAGAGGGCGGTGCGCAACATGGCGGCGCCCTTGCTGAGCGCGGCGCTGTACGGCCTCCGGGGCGGGCGGGCCTTCGGCACGACCGGTGAGCCCCGGTTGCCCCCCGAGGGGGCAGTGGGAGTCGCTTGGAGTGTGTGTGGGGGGGGAGAGCTCTCGGGAGTCCGGGTTCCTCAAGCGTACCGGGGGCGGGGGGGCGGCGGTGTCAGCGGCCCGGCACCGCGCTCCCCCTCTGCCCGCCTCGGGTTCTCTCGGTCTCTTTTCTTGCTTTTTATATAAAAACGGGAACTCTCCCCGCTTCCAGCTGCGCTCTGCAAGCGGGCAGCCCCCCTGGGGCCGATGCCCAACGAGGATATTGACGTCAGCAACTTGGAATTGCTGGAGAAATACCGCAGTTTCACTCGCTATTTCAAGCTGGCGGAAAAGGAGAGCAAGAAGCCCCACTGGTGGAAGACGTACCGGCAGCACACCAACCCCCAGCCAGGTATTCGTGGGAGGAGCTGCACCGCGCAGGGTTTTGCTGCTAAAGGCTAGAGAAGCAGTTGTTGGGGCAATGAGGTTGCCCTCAAACCTGCCCCGTAAAGGGCTGATGAGGTGCTTTGACACAGGGTTGGCCCTTTTCCAGTGTAGCAGAGCTCAAATGCCTTGAGGGGAAGTGGATGGCAGTTTTCTGGAAGGTGGGAGGCTGGCCAGGACCTGCCAAAAGACATGGAGCAGGGTAAAATAATGAGTCCTTGGCACCCCAGTGGTATCAGAGAAAGCAGATCTGGAACCAGAGCTTTAGACCTGCAGCAAATAATAGTTTGCCAGCTGCAGAGCCTGGCAAACTTGTGGGTCTGGGAGTGCAACGAGTCAGGGAAGGAGGAGGGAGCAGGAGCCTGGAGGTGCAGAGGGAAGACAGAGCTGGTGGAATTGAGTCTCCGATGTCTGGAAGCTTGCATCTCTTTCACACACTCGCTAACATTTTGCAGGGTCTTTGTGTTTGGGTATTTGGGGATTCATGTTTTTCACAGCCATGATTTTTTCACCTTTTTCTGAAGAGCCAAAGACCGACATCAGCCTGCCACATTGTAAGGTGCCGCGGGCAAAGGAAATCAAGGAAAGAAAAAAGATCCTGAGGGAGAACCACCAGAATGCCGAGATGGAAAGAGCAGCACGGCTCCGGACTGGTCTGTGCCCCACCACCTCCCTCCCTGCCCCGGCCACTCGGGGCCCCCGGCTGTCTCCTGTAGCATTTCTCTCTCCTTGCAGTGCTGATTCCTCTTGATGAAGTCAGAGCGGACTGGGAGAAGACCAGCGGCCCATTCCACAAGCAGCGCGTGGCAGAGCACTGCGGGATATTTCGTGACTTGTTCAAGGGGGCCACATTCACCCCCTGGGTTACCTTGAGAGTGGAGTACAGCCAGGAAGACGAGCACTTCGTGCCGGTCTACTATGGGAACATGGTGACTCCATCAGAGGTGTGTGAGGGGAGCTGGGAACAACTTCAACCCCATGGGAAGCCTATGTGGTTCTATCAGATGCTTCTAACGGGCACTGTTCATTCTGGGGATTTCTTTTACAAGGGTATTTCCTGTGATGAAGGAAATATGTTTCTTGGGCATGATAAGGACTGAGCTTTGCAACAGGATCATTGCTGGCAGGCTGGTGTTTATTAATGTTCTGGAGGGCTCTCTGGGTGGAGCTGAATCACTTGGTGGTGTGGCTGTGCCCAGCCTGTGTTGCGTCCTGGCTGTGCCTGTGACAAGTTCATGTTCTTTGCCTTGGAAATCGTGATCTGGTCTTAATGGATCACGGATCACTCAAATGTTGAGTAATTTACATTCCCTTTACATTGCTCTTTTAGGCTTCCAATCCCCCTGCAGTGTCTTACGAGGCAGATAAAGGCTCCCTCTGGACTTTGTTGCTCACAAATCCAGGTGAGTAACAAATTCTTTAAAAAAACATGTTTAAACTGGATTATTCCACTCTGCTTTTGCTTAGCTCCTGTTTCTTTTGACTACACAGCCAGAGCAGGTGGGATATCTGCAAAGCAGGGACATATTACATATGCAAGAAAGATTGTAGCCTCCTCAGATCTCTAGCATTTGAGAGGTGGGACAGTAAAGCAACAGGACCTGTGCCACAGTGTAGAGGAAACAATTTCCTAACTCCCATCTTGTTTACCCTCAATTTCCTCTCCTTTGGCAGTCTGCCTGGGAGGTAGGTTAGCTGATGCTGTTTGCTCTGAGAAACCAAGGCACACTGGTGTGAAGCAGCTGACCAAGAAGTTCTTTTAATCTTGGAATTACATTTGTAGTATTCTTTCCTCATTTTAAGCTCAATCCTATAAGAATTAGTTACTTTTCTGCTAGGAAATGAATGCTGGGATGCCCTGAGCTGCCCCTCCATTCAGAGCAGGTCTGGGTGTTCTTACTTTGGAGTTGATAAAAACATCAGGGTGTCCCTAAGTCACCTTTCTTTGTTGTGTGCATTTGCAGATGGACATTTAAGAGACACGGAATCGGAGTACCTCCACTGGCTGGTGTGAGTACTGCGCATCGGAGCCGTGTGCTGCTCTGCTCAGGGAAAGCCGAGGCAGGGGGAGCAGAAACTCCTCCAACAGAGCTTGGGAATAAGCGTTTGCTAAGGCGGTTCCTTGTCTTTCTCTGGTGCCATTAGCTTTACCCCTGTTCTGGGTCCTGGTAAGGAGGCAGTAATTCCAGGTGTTGCTGCTGTTTGGCATTCAAATCACTGGGTGTGATTTTTTTTTTCCAGTGAAAGCAGCCTCTACTATCTATTCATCTGTCAAACAGGGTATAAGTCATGTCAAAACATAGCACAGAGTGATTTGCAATCCTGAATCTGCTGGTCCTATTGGAGGAAAATTAATGGATATGTAGCAAAGTAAACTTCTTTGTGTTCAGGACAAACATCCCAGGCAATGACATCAAGTCGGGTAAGGAGATCTGTCATTACTTGCCCCCCTTCCCTGCCACGGGAACTGGCTACCATCGCTTCGTCTTCCTCCTCTTCAAGCAAGACTGCCCCATAGATTTCAGCGAGGATGTTCGGCCGCTGCCATGGTAATTTGAGCTTTCACTGGGCAGTTTCACACTTGCTTGGTTTGGCTGTTATCGCTTGTTATTATCTCATGCTTGTTAACTGCTGCAGGACAGCAGTTCCTTTTCATCTGCAGGGTGGTTTGGGGCTACTTTGAGTTTGTGTGTCACCTGAAGCCACCACCCCAGCCCTGTAAGCACTGCAGAGTCCTGTTGCTTTAAAACAGGATGTTAGGAAACCAATTTGCCTTACCTGGGGCAGAAATGTGCACAGAGCTGGAGAAGCTGGGAGATTTTCTTTTGGTGACTTCCTTTTCCACCTGTGTTTTATAGACTGGGGTGATATGGGGAAGTAGTTGCTTACCAGGGTGCTGCAGGAAAAAAGGTTCACCTCAGCTCTTGTGCTTGTGTCTTGTTTCCAGCCACAGCCTCAAGATGCGAACCTTTAGCACGTTTGATTTCTACAGAAAGCACGAGGATGCGATGACCCCGGCGGGGCTGGCATTTTTCCAGTGTCAGTGGGACAAATCCGTTACTTGGGTCTTCCATCAGCTTCTCAGTAAGAAATGCAGCGTTCAGGGATGCCGGAGGGGGCCTGTTTGTGGGCCAGGACATGGGCCCTGAGTGTAACGCACAGGGTCAGTGGGTGAGCTGTGGCTGTAGGCTCTTGTTTGGTCTAGGATCTGTTACAGCACAGACTGGGTACTTAGTTTGGTGGGAGATGGCTCGCTAACAGCAGTCTGAGGGGACAACTTGTAAAAGGCTCTTTTGAATGAGCATTTTAAAATAACACTGAGAGAGCCCCTGCATGCTTGACCAGCCCTGGTCCCGTGTGTACGTGGGGGCCCTTGCTGGTGAAGGGGAGAGCCCGGGGTTTGGATCTTGCTAACTGCACTGCCCCTTTACAGATATGAGAGAGCCCATGTTTGAATTCGTGAGGCCGCCCGTTTACCATCCTCCACAGTTGAAGTTCCCGCGCCACCAGCCTCTGAGGTACCTGGACAGATACCGAGACACCGAGGAGCCCACCTACGGGATTTACTAGGGACCTGGCACCCTCTCGAGGTGCTCTGGTGTGCACTGGGATGCCGGCCAGGCAGATGGGGCTGCTGCCTCTCCGCATTCACACAGCAGAGCAGCTGGAAGCCACCTGCACCTCCGGAGGGAGATGACACAATCTCAGCCCCTCAACACCCAGTTCCCCTGCGCTGGCAGTGCTGGGAAGTGTGCAGCTGAGGGCAACGGGCATCCATAGTGCTGACAACTGTGTGGTCAAAAGACTACTTAGAGAAGACGTTCATAGATGAAAGCAAATCCGTGGCCAGGCTGAAATCTTGCCACTGATTTTGTAGCAGAGCTCTTCGGTAAGGGTGGCAGGGTAGGGTCCCCCGCAGAGACGCCCTGCCTTGTTTCTCTGCAAGGATCACAGTTCTCCTTTTGCCTGTTTATGAAATAGAGCCAGGCCAGCATGGATTTCCTCCTCTTACAGCACTGTGGTTCAGGACTCTGTCAGCTTTCATTTGTGCAGTCTTCTTAGAGATGAGTCTGATTAAACACACTCTGAGTGATGCTGGCAGAGCTGTCTTTATCGGGAAGGGCTTGGTATCCCAGCCAGTCGGCGCAGAGCTGGGGAGCTCAGCAGGGTGCAGGGGAGAAGGGCAGTCCTTCCCCTGGCCGCAGTCGCTTTTCCCTCTTGGATGTTGTGAAGAGTGTGGCTACGCAGGTGGTAAACTTGCACAAGGTCAACGTTTGTGGAGCTGGCTTCTCCCAAGCACATGGACTTCAGTCTCCTTCCCCTTGCTCCCTGTACGTAGGTGGAGCAAAAGCAGAGCTGCCAGCATTGGGGCAGAGGTGCAGTGTTGGTGCTGGTCTTGTACCCAAGCTGTGGAGAGACTCTGCAGAGCTCTTGGCGCATCCTCTGTTTGCATGTTTAAATCCCCAAACACCGACATGCTCTTGCTGTTGCAGCTGCCTGTTCCCAGCCACTTTATCTGAGGTTTCCCCCTTCCTCAGGAAATAAGAGCTGCCAGCAAACAATTGAGATTGTGCTGAAGTGCACCCCCAGCTGCTGTTGCTCAGGTCCATCGCCAGCTATGCCTGAGCTGCCTGAACTTTCCTACCCCAAAGGGTTCTGGGGTCTGGTTTAAGCCGGGGTGAATTAGCTGGTGAGGTGACCACAGCAGCAGTGCAGGTGTCCTGCGGTTCCAGGCAGAGACGCAGGTTGTGTTATTCCTCTCTCTGAGCTTTGAATATTTGGTCAGAATCTGCAGATTCAGCCCAAAGATATGTTTTGGGGGGCCAAAGCTATTCTGGGTCATGCAGGGAGGTATGACAGATCCCAAGTCACCTCCTGAGTCCAGGGACAGTCTGGGGGGTGGCTCTCAGCCTGCCTGCGACACGGAAACAGCTCTGACCCCCCAGCAGCCTGCCAGCGAGCATCCCAGCTGCAGCGCAGACCCCCTCCCTGCTTGCCCTCACCTGCACAAGGTGAAAACAAAGCCACGTGTTTGGGGTCTGCAGAACCATTGTAAACTGAGGCTGCCCTGCCAGAGCTGAGCTGCCTGGGCGTGTGTGCACAAGCAGTAGCACGTCTGCAAGGGTAAGGAGATAAGGTTGGGAGCTTTTTCTCCTGAAACTGAACTGTGTGAAGATAAGGTGAAGGTAGGCGGTGCAGATACCACTATCACCTCCAGGCAGAACACTCCACCTGCCACCTGAGCAGGGACTGATGGCCCAGATGAAATCCTTCTTGTGTTTTGGAGTAGTGGTGTGCACAGGTGTTGCAAAGAACTTAGTAGGAAAAGGAGTGGTGGGTGTGCACAGGGGCATGTGCAAACAGCAGGAGCTGTAGTTTAAAATGGAAAGATGCAAGAGCAGAATGTGGCCCTGGCTGGCTGCTGGCATGTGCCACAGCCCTTGTCACTGCAGAGGGAGGTGACGTGTGGCTGCAGCAGCAGTGGGTGCCCCGCTCTGCTGGTTCCCAGGCTGGCAGATGCCAGGAGCACTGTACTGAGATCTCTCTGCCAGGGAGGAGTGCCACTCTCTGCTTGGGGACCCAGCCCTGGCAGAGGTAAAGATGCCAGGAAGTTCCCTCAAAGGGCGCAAAAGGCGTGAAATCAAATTACACATCACATGTGTACCCGTGCAAATGCATTCGTGGAAACACTCATTGCTCTGACCCTTGTCAGCCTCTTGCACGTGTCTCTGTGCTGTCACTGCAGCATTTCACCCTCTCCGGGGTCTCCTGCTTTGCTTTGCAGCCCTCCCTGTTGGGGGGGGGCGCAGCTCCAACCCTCCCCATTGTCTTCCCAGCATGGCAAAGGGGTACCCACTGGGTGTCTCTTTAAGAACATGCCTGGCTCGGAGCCCTGACCCGCCTCTGAGCTCAGCGTCACCATCTCTTCTTCCTCTGCACAGCTGAGTTTCTATTTCCCCGGCTTCTTTTGTTGGCTTCTTTCCCCCATCGCCCCGATCCCCGGCGCAGGCACGATGGCATCACCCATCTCGCAGAAGCTGGAGGAGAAGCTGGTCTGCTCCATCTGCCTGGAGCTGTTCAGAGTGCCCGTGACCTTGCCCTGTGGGCACAACTTCTGCAAGCGCTGCATCGGCGACCACTGGCACAAGCAGGAGCAGGCGCCCGCCGGGGCCAAGAAGGGCTACACGTGCCCCGAGTGTCGCAGGGGCTTCGAGCAACCTCCGGAGCTGGAGAAGAACGTCACCCTGTGCAGCGTGGTGGAGCTGGCACGGGATGGCGAGGCGCGGGCCTCGGGCACGGAGAGGTGCGAGGTGGCCCACGGCGAGCTGTGCCCGCAGCACGGGCGCCCGCTGGAGCTGTACTGCGAGGATGAGCAGCGGTGCATCTGCTGCGTCTGCACCATCCGGCAGTGCCAGCGGCACCGGCGGGTGCTCTTCGAGGAGGAGAGCTCTAAAAAGCAGGTGGGGACACTGGGTGACAAGGCTGGGGTAATGGGGTGGGATGGGGATGGTGGGCAGGGGGAGCTGCAGCAGGTCAGGCTCGGCAGAACATCCACCTCCACCGTCCCGTGCCCTGCTGTGGGCGTGTGATGTGCCTCCACGCACAGAGCTGTGCCCGGTCTCAGCTGAACAGGCGGCTGGCCGGGGAGATGCTACCAGTGCTTGGCTGCTCCTTGAGAAACTGGGGGCTGTCGGGAGCAGCAGAGAGCCGGGTAAATCCAGCAGCACTGGATGACTGGTGCTATATGTGGTTTTGACCCCTGATCTAGAGGAAACAGCTAAAAAAGTGGTGAAAGCCAGAACAAGGTTTCACTTCTCAGTGACTGTGGATGCAGCCTTTCCTCTTCCCAAGCCTTCTCCTTCCCTGCAAGCCTTGTCCTCCAGCCCCGAGAGGGCTCCTGGGGGCCAGGCAGACAGCAGTGTGCTGCACTGCAGGACATTGGTGCCTCCCTACACAGGCTCTTTTGAAAGACTCCCTGGAAAAAGCCCAGGAAGAATCGGAGAGGATTGAGAGGGTGATGCAGGAGTTGGAGGAGCGAACGCACAGCATCAAGGTAACGCCATGGCTGCCTCGGTGCTGGGCTCATGGGTGGGAGCGTGCTGGCTCTCACAGCTCTTCCCTGCCCAGGACTCTTCTGAGGGGCTCAAATCAGTGATTCTGAGCAAATTCGCCCTCCTGAGGAAAGCCCTGGAGGATTTCCAATGGCAGACGGTGGCCAGGATCGAGGAGGAGCAGGCGGCGGCACTGGGACATGTGGAAGAGAACTGGAGCTTCCTGAAGGACCGCCTGGACATCCTTGGCCAGCACAGGGAGAGGGCTCAGGGCCTGCTGGCCTGCCCTGACCACAGGACCTTCCTCCAGGTACCATCCCAGTGCTGAGTCCCTCCCCGTGCCCCTTCGGTGAGAGCAGAGACTTGGTCGACCCCTTCCCCACAGGGGATGCATCCTCAGCCCAGCTCAGGGATGGGATGGGGCTGCGGGGAAGAGCTGATTTCAGGGGTTCCCTGAAAAGTTGGAGGGTGCAATTCTGGATCGGAGCAGATGGTGCTGCTTGTAGGGGCATGGGCAGCATCTCCCCCCCCCAAACTGCTCAGCAAGGCTCTTCCACCACCAGCAAAACACAAAGTCCTGTGCCACAACCCCTCTGCTCCCCACAGCCTTACGCTCCCGTGTGCCAGTCACAGCTAGTGGTAGCTGTTTTGGGGATGCCCCCAGCCCCCACTGGGGTGTCTGTGTGTCTGTCCGCAGGAGTTCCCCCTGCTCCCGTCCCCGGAGAGCCCGGGGGCGCTGGTCCCCATGGAGTTTGATGTGGCTGCCGTGGTCAAGCCCATCAATGAGATCCTCGCTAACATCTCCAGGCTCCTGCTGGAGGACCTGCCCAGCTCTGTGGCCCCCAAAACCCCCAACCCCGCTGGCCAAGGTAACTGTTCTGCTTGCAGAGCCACCCCGAAAGGCTCCAAGTCATCCTTAACCACAGCCTGGCCCATATCACCATGGTGGGGACACAGCTGCCAGGCACAGGGGTTTGGGATGGGGACACACATTTCCTGTTCAGCGGATGGGATGGGATGGGATGGGATGGGATGGGATGGGATGGGATGGGATGGGATGGGATGGGATGGGATGGGATGGGTGGCTTCCCTGTGGCTCCCTCCTTGCTGGCAACGCCAATCGCAGTGTCTTGTGCCTGCTCTCAGGCTTGGATACAATGGACTTCCTCCTCCTCCCATCGAAGCCAGGAAGGACCAAGTTTTTGGGTGACATCACTCAAAATGTCTGTCCCCATCCTCTGTAGATCCAGTGCACCCCCAGGGGCCGGCGGTGAAGGTGGTGGCCCCTCTCCCCAAGTGCCATCTCCGAGCTGAGCTTCTGAAGGGTGAGGAGCACGTGGGGCTCTGGAGGGACAGCACCCCGCTGGGGTCCCCAGCAGGCTCTGGGGACCAAGCCAGGCTCTTCCCTGGGAGGAGGGTGGTCATGACTATGGGCACAGGGGCTCCTTCCCTGGCTCTCCCAATCCCTCTCCCTAAATGTGGAGAAGGGTGCTGCAGGGCTGGGGTGGATGGGCTGGGGGACACTGCGTGGCCTGGAAAGTGCTTGTTATGGGGATTAACGGCACCAGGGAATGCTTTCCCACGGAAACTGGGGTTGCTGGTGCCCGGAATTGGGTCAGCCGCTGCCCCGGATCTTGCCCTGTCTCCATCCTCTCCTTTTCACCCACCTCAGGCATCTCGCCCGAGCAGGAGCACTGTGCCTGCTCCCGACAACCCATATTTAGACACAGTGCTTTCCCACAGGCCAGCAGGCAACGTCAGCAGCTGGCAAGTGAGCAACTCCAGGGAGGTGTCACGGGCTGCCCCAGCCACCCCCCTCAGAACTGGTCCAGAGCCCTGCCTGCAGGCACTGCTCTCTGTCCAGGGATACGGCCCCAGTGCTCCCAGCCGCAGCCCTTCATGTCCCCTTCCCTCCCCAGGCCCATGCCTTTCCAATTCCTTAGGAATTTCCTCAGAGCTTCTTTTCCCATCTCCTCCCTGTTGGAAAGAGGGTTGGATAATGTTTAGGGCATGTTGGTCATGTCACTCCTGCCAGGGAGGCAACTGATGCTTATGGGACCTCTAAGGATTCCTTCAGTCAGGCCCCAGAAAATGTTCTCAGGGTAATTAATAGGAAAACAAATGTTATTTGTGAGCAGCAGGCATGAGCCCAGCATAGCTGGCCAGGCTGGGTTGCTGCTGGAGGAAGGTGAGGTGCTGGTGGCCGGGGGCTGCCCGTAGCAGGAAGAGTTATAGCAGCCTGTGCAGAGGTGAGTAGCTACCCACAATACCATGTTAGCTCTCTTAACACCCGGTTTTCTCCCCCTCTCCCCACCCATGCTCATATTTTTTGCTCTTAAAACCAAGCACGTCTCTTTCAAAATGACTGTGGAGCCGCTGCTGCCTGTTGGCCATGAGCTGGGCTGTGCAAGGGCTGTGCAAAGTGTTGTGTCTCGGTGCCTCGCCAGCTATTTCTGGGCTGTTTCCATGCCTTGAGGCAAGCGGGTGGGCAGGTATCGCATCTTCCCCTCCTAACATGCTACAATTTGGGAGCCAGCCCTATGCAGTTTAAACCATATCGCTGTTGGGGGGGGTGGTGTGGCTCACAACAAGGGTGTAAAATTCTGATGAAGCATTGCAGCCCCATCCATGCTGTTTCTCTTCCCAGACCACCGCAACCTGACCTTCGATCCCAAGACAGCCAACAAGTACTTGGAGCTGTCAAAAGGCAACCGGAAAGCCAAGCACGGCCCCAGTGCCATCTGCGGGCGGCAGGAGGAGCAGGGACCCCGCTTCGAGCCCTGGCAGGTGCTGTGCACGCAGGGCTATGGCCACGGCCACCACTACTGGGAGGTGAAGATCTCCAGCCACTCTGTCATCCTGGGGGTGACCTACCGTGGTCTCCCCTTGGAGCGACAGCAAGGTCACAAGTTCAACATCGGCCTGGACGGGGGCTCGTGGGGGCTGCAGGTGCGGGAGGATTGCTACCTGGCCTGGCACGAGGGCCGGGCGGAGAAAATCCAGGAGCTGTTGTATAAGAACCTGGGGGTCAGCCTGGATTACAGCAAGGGGCTCCTCTCCTTCTACGGCCTCGGGGAGAGGACGCAGCTCATCCACTCCTTCCACACTGTCTTCACCGAGCCCCTCTACCCCGTCTTTTGGCTGTGTGAGGGGCGAGCCGTGACGCTGTGCCAGAGGGACTGAGCTGGAGTTGCTGGGCTGGCAAACCCCGGGCTGGTGCCGTAGCCAAGCTGCAGCCAGGGGCTGTCGCAGTGTGAGTGGGACCCCAATGCTGAGGCAGGAGTGGGGCACCATGTTTTAACAAAGGCTGATGAGGACAGGCACGCACATTAACCCGCTCAGGTTTGCACATGCAAATATCACGCTGGTGACACAAGTTAGGGCAAGGGAAAGGATGCTGTGCCCCTCCCGTGGGGATGAAGCCCCCGGTCCCTGTGCATGGGGACACGTGTGGGTGCCTGTCCCTGCAGGCAGGGCAAGGGGGGGTGATAAGGAGGGCGCAAGAATTAGATTTTTCCTCTTTCTCCTGTCCTGGCCCAACATCCCAAGCCTGGGGGAGATTTGGGGTGAGTGAGACCCCAGAGAGGGGTGCTGCAGCCACAGGGTGCTGTGGAGCAATGCAGCGGGAGCCCTGTGCCCCCCCAGCCCCACATGCAGGCAGGTCCTGCTCCCAAAGCCCCTCCTGGTCGCCTCTTGCCACTCTCAGACACGATAGAGCAACTTTTTGGAGTGCCACGATCCGGTTGCTCTTTGTACAATGCTGTTTTCCCTAATAAAGCTCTATTTTCCTACTGGTTTCACCTCGGTGCTGGTGGGAGCTGTGGGACCAAGCAGCACTGGGGGAGGGTGTCATCTGGGTGCCCCTGCTCCTGCACCCATCCCTGCAGGGCCCCATCCTGCCCTTCCGCATCCTCACGGGGCCAGCAGCAGGGACCAGCCCCAAGTAGTGACCAGCTGGCAGCAGAACTAGAAAGTGCTTTATTTAGAGTAACACTGCGATAAGGAAACCTGATTTCCTATGGCTCTGCCCCAAGGTCTATCTGGAGCAGAAGAAAATCTGAAGCTTTGATTGAAGCTCTTTCAAGGGTGTAGACGGCAGGTCCCGGCATCTCCCCCTGCCCTCCTGGGGATGCTGGTGAGGACTAACGGGGTGAAACTGGGCACCGGTTTCAAAGGTGCTGGAGACTTACAGGTGAACGTGTAGGAAATGAATCACATCAGCTTGTTTCCTTTAGGGAAAAAAGGTTGAAAGGGATCAATCCCCTTCTTCACAGACAGATGCAATTTGTCTTGCTGTGCTTCCTCCTTCACTCCACACCTCCCACTCCTGTTCCTTGGGTCCTTGGGTGGGACCTTGGGCCAGCATGGACCTGGGAACTCATCCAAGTCAAAAAATTGTCTGTGTGCTGTTGCACAGGAGGTGGCTGGAGATCCCATGTTTACCAGGCAGGTCCTCATACCGAAAGCACTTTTGTGCCTCCCCAGCCCCATCCCTGCTGGGTGCCTGCCAGCTCCTGCCAGGCCCTGGAGCAAGAGGGGACAGGGACTGAGCCAGGACCTGGGCACTGTGACCCTTTTTGGCCATGGGATTGGCCGACGTGGGTCCATGGGCACCAGGGCTGGTAGGAAAGCACCTCCACCCCTGTACTGCAGAGGTGTCGGGGGGGGGGCGGCTCAGGACCCTCCATGTAGCTCCAGGGTGGGGAGCAGCTCCTGGAGGGCAGTGAGGTGGCAACAGGTTCTGGGGCAGCAGATTCTGGGGGGCCAGGGATGCTCGCGGGAGGCAGAAGACCCCTGGGAGTGGGATTGGAATGGGCTGGCAACAGCTTCCCTGGATGGGAGATTGAGGGGTGCGCAGCAACTACCCCCGGGGGGCAGCAGAACCCCAAGGAGGGACTTGGGTCCCAGTGGGGCCGATCCTTTAGGACAGACCCTGGGTGAGTGGGAGGCAGGACATCCTCAGCAGGGTGGCATCCCCCCGGGGGAGGGGGGCAGATCTATCCAGAAGGCAGCAGATGCCGAGGGGAAGGACTAGATGCCCGGTGAGGGGTGAGACAGAGAAAGACAGACAGGCACACACACCTCCACACCGCGGGCGGATGGCGGGGCATTGGGGACCAGGTCCCCCCGGGAGGCACCAGACCCCCGGCAACCGGCCCCGGGCGCGGGGAGGCGGAGCGGGCGGGGCGGGGCGAGGCGGCCGCCCGCCTCCCGCCGGGGCTGGGAGCGGGGCCGGGGCCGGGGCGGGCGGCGGGGCCGGTTGGTCGGGGCTCTCAGGGATGGAGACCGCGCCCGGGAGAGCCCCGCCGTCCTCCACCGTGGCGTTGAGGCTGGCGTTGGCGGCTCCGGGCCTGCCCGACGGTCCCTTCGGCTGCCCCATCTGCCTCGACCTCCTGAAGGACCCGGTGACGGTGCCGTGCGGGCACAACTTCTGCCAGGGCTGCCTTGGGGCGCTGCGCCAGCGGCCGGGCCCCCCCGACGGCAGCGGCGGGGCGGGTGGGGCCGCCCGCTGCCCGCTCTGCCAGGAGCCCGTCCCCGCGGCCTTACGGCTCCGCAAAAACCGCGCCCTTTGCGAGGTGCTGCCGCTGCTGGCGGCCGCCGCCGGTTCGTCCCCTCCGTCCCCAGTCGCCGGAGCCCCGATGGCACCGGGAGCCGAGGAGGAGGATGCGGCGGGGGAGGAAGGAGCGGCGGTGCTGTGCGACGTGTGCCCGGCGGGGTCGCGGGTGGCGGCGGCCCAGTCGTGCCTGGTGTGCCTGGCTTCCTTCTGCCGAGCCCACCTGGAGCCCCACCGCCGCGCCCCCGCCTTCCGCGCCCACCGCCTGGTCCCCCCGCTGCGGCGGCTGGAGGAGGGTCTCTGTCCCCGCCACCTCCAGCCCTTCGACGGCTTTTGCCGCGCCGAGCAAACCTGCGTCTGCGCCCGCTGCCGCGCCCACGAGCATCGCGCCCACGACGTGGTGCCCCTCGAGCAGGAGCGAGAGCACAAGGAGGTACGGGGGGGGGGGGGGGGGGGGGGGCTGGGAGGGTGCGCGGAGGTCCCCACGCGGGGATAGACCCGGCAGCGTCTGTGCTGGGCGGGGAGGGTGCTGCAGCCGTATCCCCACGCGGGACCTAACCCTGACATGGGGGTGTCCATGGGGGGTGCAGTGCTGGCGGGGCATCTTAGGTGGGGTGAGGTGCAGCACCCCTGGGACAGGTCCATGCTGCACCCACATCCCCACGGGGGACCTAATCCCCATGTGGGGGTTGTGCAGGTGTGGCACTGGTGGAACGCCCTGTGTGGGGTGGGTGCTGCAGCCCTTTCCCCCACAGGGGAACCCACCCTGGCATAGAGGGACGGGGTGCTGTGCCATCAGGACACGCTGTGGGGTGGGGACAGGACAGGCAGCCTGGGACAGACATTAGGGGCAGACCCACTGCCAGCCAGCCCGTGGGGTTTGGTCCCGCTGTGGGGCCAAACTCGCAATCCCTGTGGGCGTAGGGCTGGGGGCGAGGGCGCCTGGGACACCCTGCAGTGGCCGCCCCGCAGTCACGGGGCACCCGTCTTCTCCGTCTCGTTCCCACAGTTTCGTCAAGGCGGTTTTTCTCTGCGTGCTGGCAGCCTGCCCGGCTTCTGCTCCCGCTCCACCAGCCCTTTGTATCCCGGCGCTTTGGCAGCGGGGATTTTTTCCATCACTCCCATTCCCAGATGCGGCTGAGTCACCTCCCAAATTCGCACCCACGAGCCTCCCGAGGAGCCCCGGCACAGTGCTGCCTTCCTGGGCACTGCTGCCTCGAGTGCGTGGGGCCTCTGCAGGGCTGCAGGCAGATGGCAGCCTGCAAGGCTCAGGGCGTGGTGGCATCCTTGCCTCTGCATGGGGCATTTGGGGACCTTGGAGGGGGGTTTATTTTTCTGGGGGAGAGCCCAGGGGCTGCAGACATGCTGGCAGGGAGCACAGCAGCAGCCCCGCGCCAGCTTCCACTCCCTCACGGGCTTTCAGGGCTCCAGGAAAACCCTTTTGCCGGCGTTATTAGTCATCGGATGCCTTGAAATAGAAAGCGCGTGTGATCCCAGCCCCGAGGAGCTGTCGGGCCTCGCAGGCGCTGCTTAACGCCGCCTGCACGGCCTCTGCGGCCGCGCTCTGCCACCGCCCTCGCGCTGCGGGGCCAGAAGGATGGACGGGGCCTGTCCCCCCCCTCGCCAGGCAGGGAGCTGGGAGCTGAGCGTGGGGTGGGGAGCTACTCTGGCTGGGGAGTGCAATCCCCTCCTGGCTCCCAAGGGACCCGTCCTCAGGATGGGCAATGGCTGGCGCTAACAATAGCGCGTCAGGAAACGCCGCGTTCGGACAGTGCTTCCTTTGCAGCCACGCAGCACCCCGTGCTGCCGAGCTGCTTTGCTTTGCTCCTAACGAGAGACCTCCAGGGGACTCAGCGCTGCATTTCCGAGTGCCCCAGGTCTGGTTTCAGCTTCCGCACTAGTCCCAGCTTTGGGATACACCCTAAGAGCACGCGGCTTAGCTGCGCTTGCTGCAACCACCGCCTGATAGTTTTGCTTTCAAATTCCTATTTTGTTTGGTTTCCTCTGGGACCGAGGTGGAGCTGGGCATGACCCTTTACAGCCTGGCTGCTCCTTTCGTTTTCCAACTGAGTGAGAAGGGATGTTTGCAGGTTGGATATTGCAGGGGAGGAAAACAACTCGTGATTCCCCTTGCACCCTTCACCTGAAGCCTGATAGCAAGGTTACGGTCAGAGAGGGGGCTGTGGGTTGAACGTAGGGAGAGGCAGGGTCCCCTGTGCCTCCCTGCCACCGGGATCGTGGCGCAGAGCTCAGTGTTTGTCCCTTGTGTCCACAGGCCCAACAAGCTAAATTCCTCAGCGATGTGGATAACGAGCTGGAGGAACTGGCAGTCACCATCGCGCAGGCCAAAAAGATGGTGGAGCTCGTTAAGGTGACTCTGCGATGGCTTCACTCTGTTAGCGTGGCTCTGCTGGGCCAGGGAGCGGAGGCGAAGGGGCCATGAGCTTTTGGGGCGTGTGGGGGGTAGAAGTGGTGCTCACAGGGAAGCATGTGCCCCATAAAACATAGTCCCTGAGTATCCGTGGGTCCCTGAGGATCCTTGTTTCTCATCTCTGTTAACCCTCACAGCATCTCTGGTTGCTTTAGTTTGCAACCTGGAAGAAGGAATAGGGCAAGGATCATGCCAGGGCATCTGCTGGCTCTTGCACCTTCTCTCCCCAGGCTCACGGGGTTTTGGTCCCCTTTGGCCCTTGTGCAAACACATCACTTCACTGCCTGGGGACACGAGACATGGTGGAGCAGTAAGCAGCCGTGCCCAGTCAGGTCCCTTGACACCTGGGTTGTAAAGTGCTCCAAGCTATTGGGTGAAGGGGGTGATGGGGTGTCAGGGGGACCCCACAGAGTTGAGAACCACGTGCTGGACAGGGGACAAGGGTGCTTTCCCAGACCCTTGCCTGTGGAAGGTGACCCTGACCCCTCTCTCCCTGTGCTTAGGGCGCTGCCATGAAGGAGAGGGAAGGAGTCGAGAAGCTCTTTGCAGAAGCCTCCGAGGTCCTGGCGACCTTCCAGAAGGAGGTGGCCAGCTTCATTGAGGATGGGGAGCGCTCCATGCTGGGAGAGGCTGAGGCTGATCTCCGCTGGAAGGAGGAGAGACGAGCCAACCTTGCCCAGTGCAAGCAAAACCTGGAGAACGTCCCCAGCACTGACACCGTCTACTTCCTTCAGGTGCCCGAGTGGGATGGGGCAGGGAGAAGGAGCCGATAATATTGTCATTAGGGGGTTTGTCCCATTTCATGTGGCTGCCAGGAGCCCTGGGATGTGAGGGCTGCAGGGTCTCACTTGTGTTGGCACAGTCCTCTCCCCTCCCCAGTCCTGGGGGGACCGGGCGGCCAAGACTTTCTCCTCCACCCCCACCTCCATCCTGGCCATGGCTCAGGAGAAGCTGATGTGCTGCCCAGACTGCGTATGTAGGTGTGGGGGACAGAGAGCGAGAGATTGGGGTGCCCCACTGCCCCCCATCCAGCATCTGCCCCCTCTCCAGCAGCCCAGCAAGAGGAGCCCTTTTTGGGAGGAGATGCTGCTCCATGCGAGGTGGGCATGGTCTGGGTCCAGGTTTGAAAGGGAGAGAAGGCGCCAGGAACGCGTGGCCAGGAAAGCTCTCTCCTCCCTTATGCAAGGCTGTCCTTGGGCCAAGTCCTGTGAGCTGCCAGTTCCCAAATCCTCCGGGGCAGGGTGGGGTTGCGGAACAAGAGACAACTTGAGCTTGTTTAAAACCTCCTGAAACTCTGTCTTTTTGGCTCAGGAATTTCAGGCCTTAAAAGTAGCCATGGAAGAAAATCTTTCCCCGGCTGTGAACTTCCAGAATGAGCTGAACTTCACCAAGTGCACCCAAGCTGTGAGCGCCATGAAGGATGTGCTGTCTGCTGCCTGCAAAAAACAGTGGGATCACTTGCAGGGAAAAGGAATTGATGGGCTGGATTTCCAGGAGATGGAGGAAGGTTTGTGTTCACCCAGCCCCTCTGCCCGGAGGTCACCCCGTCACCCTCCATCCTCCCTGCGTAGGTGGGAGGTGCCTGCAGGCTCGATGGCTCCTCTCCCGCCAACCCTGGAAGCTGAGCGGCACGGTTGCGCTGCACGTTACACAATCCCAGTCTGGGCTTACGCCTCATCCTTGAGGTTTTATGAATTTTTCCACGGAGACTGGAGAGGCAACAAACAGCCTGGGAGTTAGGCAGGACCCTGTGGGAGGGGGCAAGTGGCCAAAGTGGCCTCCCATGAAAGGGGACTCTTTCTTCCCAGGATAGATGATCCTCTTCATGGGGCAGGCTGTGGTCTCCCAAACCTGCCAGGGTTAGAAAGCCACCACAGCAGCCTTCTCCCAAGCTCATTTAGCCTGAGCTCTCTCCTCTCTCTCATTTCCTCGGATGCCCATGGGAATTGCAGCTGGTTCTTTGCCCCCCCCTGCTCCATCTCCCTGGGGTGGCAGAGGTGGCATCTGTCCTTTCCCGTGTCCAAGCTGGCAGGGATGTGCAGGGGGAGCTGGAGATGCTGGCTGGGGCTTGGGGTACCATCAGGGTGTCGGGCGGGGGGCGATGGCCAGTAACACCCTTTGCTGATGGCAAACCCTTCTGTCCCTGTCTCTGCAGCGTTGGCCAAGTCCCAGGCTCCAGACAACTCAAACAATCCCACCTGCCGGGAGAGCCGTGATTACTTCCTGAAATGTAAGCGAAGGACTTTTGCTTTGACAGTTGTTGCTAAGGTTCATCTTCCCTTTCCTCTCTCCGGGCCAGCCAGCTCCTTCCCGCACGCCTGGCCAGCGCTGGTCCCGAGCCGACAGCTGGCAGGAGCACTGCCGCCACTGGAGGAAATATTGCTCAGCTAACAGGGAAGTCTCCTTGCTTTCCTGACAACAGTCATTATCTGTTTAGGTGATATTTTTTTTCCCTTGTCTGTGGTTCTGCCATTCCAGCTGCCAGAGGGGGCTGCAGGCACACCACGTAATTTCTGCTGCCTTCCAGCCCTTGATGAATTGGATCCCCCATTAATTAGATCAGAGTTGGTGCATCTGCCTTGTTTTCAGTCTGATAAGAGTCATCTCCAGCGGCAGCAAGCAGAGGGATAATTCAGTGGCTGAGCAGAGACAATAGGGCTGAAGGGGCTGAGGTTGGAGGGTGCAGGGCTGGCCTTGGGCTTCAACACCCTGCGTGTCCCCACCCCCCCCCAGCCTTACAGGGATGTGGGGTCACCTACTGAGATGTCCACAGGGGACATGATTTGCCTCAGCAGCACACACCCGGTGCACCCCGCTGGGAGCCGGGCAGCAAAGCCTGGCCTCGAGTGGGGTGTGCTGTGCCACTGCTAAAGGGTTTGGACATGCTGTGGGTTCAGACCTGCAACACCACTGGCACCGATGTGTGTCCAGGGCTGTTCCCACTGGACATCCCCTGTTCGGGATCCAGCAGCGGTTCTCACGTGGCCCCGCACGCTGGGAGCTGCCTCTGCTGCTGCGGGAGCTGTAGGGCAGCGAGAACTGACTGCAGTTGGTTCGTAGCTGTGATGTGCCTGGCTGTTCTCCCGTCTTCTTGGGGTCCCTCCCCGCTGTGTTTGTCTGTGGTTGCCTGAAACCCACTTTTATATGGAATGTTCCTACATTCTCCAATGTCTGATATCAGGGCTGAGCTCATCTAGCAGCCCTTCTGCTCTCTCCTTTGCCCGGTTACCTGTATTCATGCTGCTGATGGGAATGTCACCTCTTGCGGCTCCTTATGTTCAGCAGATGAAACCAGCGGTGGGATTTAAAAGCATGGGGACAGAGCAATGGTGGGAGTCAGAAAGGATCATGCTAATCACTGAAGGCTGGAGCAGGGGATCAGAACAGGGTGGGCCACGGGGATTTTCTCCTGTTTCCCTCCTCATTCTCATGTCTCCTTCTTGCCCCACACAGTTGCCTTCATCATTGACCTGGACAGCGACACAGCTGACAAGTTCATCCAGCTGTTTGGCACCAAAGGGGCCAAGCGGGTGCTGTGCCCCATCCCCTATCCGGAGAGCCTGATGCGGTTCATCAACTGCGAGCAGGTGCTGGGTGTGAACCTCATGAACCGGGGCAACTACTACTGGGAGGTGGAGCTCATCGACGGCTGGGTCAGCATCGGCGTCATCACCGAGGACTTCAACCCCCAGGAGTCCTACAACTACGGGCGCCTGGGGCGGAATGAGAAATCCTGCTGCCTGCAGTGGAACGGACAGAACTACGTGGCCTGGTTTGGAGGCCTTCAGTCTGTCATCCAGCAGCCATTCTTCCACACAATTGGGGTCTTCCTGGAGTATTCAGAGAAGGCACTGACCTTCTATGGAGTCAAGGACTCCAAGATGACCTGCCTGCAGCAGCTCAAGGTCTCCCATCTTGCCAAGGGTCAGTTTGACCCGTTCCAGAACAAGATCAACAACAAATTCACTTCTCTTTTCTTTCACAAGCTGAAACCAGCCTTCTTCCTGGAAAGCGTTGATGCCCACCTGCAGATTGGGCCACTGAAGAAAGATTGTGTTTCGGTGCTAAAGCGTAGGTAACTGCCCAGAGAGCGGGAGCATGGGAAGACCCAGAAAAGTCTCTCCTGCAGTGTATTGTCACCGTCACAGCTTCTCTTTGGTAGCGTTTTCTTTCTCTGTGGCAGCCCTTCCTCCTCGCCCTGTGCTGTTGGTGACCCAGGGGTGGATGAAGCTGTCTGGTGGGCAGAGCTGTGGGCTGGGAGCTGGATCCGAGTGCTGGCTCTGCTGCTGGGCTGCTGAGTGAACTTGGGCGAGTCTCTGTACTGCTCCCTGCCCCTCAGTTTCCCTTTCTGGACATCAGGGACCATGATACAGCCTTTCTTGGTAAAGCGTATTGCTCAGGAGAAGTGCCACATAGATTTGAAGCTGTATGTTGGCCAGCTTCCAGGCTGCCTGGTCCCTCTCCTTAATATCTGCTTGCACTGCCCTGGTGACTTGCGCAGATGTTCTGCTTTGTGCCTTATCTCGGTCTCTGTGTCACTGCTGCTTTTTTAAGCGCAGGCTCATCGATGCCTTCTTCGTGCTCCTTATGAAGTGCCTTTGAAGTAGCAAGCCCAGCATGGACCGGGCGAACCCCAAGGCGGGTGCGGTCACTTCCCCAGTGCCCACATCACCATCGTGCCTTGGCGTGGGTGAGCAGGGTGCTCCGGGGCGGGTGGGATGCAGAGGAGCAGTGAGGTGGGGTGCAGGGGCGACACTGCGGTGACAGAGTACCTCTCCTTGCAGGGCTGACCACCCATTAGTTCTGCAAACGTGAAACAAGTATTTTTGCCCTCATGCTGCGGCCACTGGGTATTTTGAACACTGGTCTGTGGCCAGGCTCATTTGAGAAAAGCCATGGTCCCACATATGTTAGAGCCCTGTGGCTGCAGGGCTGCTCCCCACCACAGGCAAAAATCCCAGCAGGGAAAGGGGAGAAACCTCCTGTCAAGAAGCAGCAGCACCATTCCTGCCTTGAGATGGTGAAGCAAGCAGCACAAAATCATTTAGAGGATGTTTTTTAGAAAACATGTTCCTTGGGAACTGCTTACAGAAACTTTACAGTCAAATTTCCCCCTACATTTTTGATGACCCTAGTATTTTAGGGGATTTTAATACTGTTAAACTCCCAACTCTTAAATTACCCTGGGCACACTTGAGCTGTAAATGTACCCCTTAGCTTAGAGAGTTTTTTAAGTGACAAAGAGGTGCTGTGAATATGTCCCAGGGGCATATGGTCTGTTCTAGGGACACTATAAAAGGTACAGCATCAGTCAGTAATGAAATAACCCTTTAGACCCTGGCAATAAGTAACAATTAACAAAAACTACTCTCAAGCAACTGTCCCCTCCAGGAAAGGTGGAAACTTGAGGCTGAGAGCCAAAAATGCTAGTTCACGTGTCCTAAGGGAGCTTTTTCAGAAGAAAAATACAGCCTGCAAGGGCGGCACAGTACAGCCCCTGTCTCAGCGCACCACGTCTTTCCACAGGTTTATTTTTTCTGGGATTAGTTTGCTACCTACCTCCCCTGAAACTTGCTTTACAGAATCGTAGTGCTCTGTAATATATACGTAAAGAGAAAATAAAGAGCTCAGGTTCTTCACTGGCATGAGTGAGTCAGTGATGACGCATCAACGGTCAACAGGAATAGAAAATGGCCCATTTAGCTAAATATATGAAATATACATATATTCCCCAAAGGATAAGTTGAAAACCATAGTGGTATATTCAAGTGGAGCCAAGGGAAAAAAGTGAATGTGAATAAAAAGGCAGCCACAAAGCCAAGAGGTTTAAAGTTAAAGCCACGTTTACATAAACACTGAGGCTTAAAGAGCTCCTTTACTGTAACTTGTTTGCCAGCACTATGAATTCCTACTGGTGTGGGAAGAGGTGCTGGACCCCAGAAACAGCTGTCGCTGTGGGCTCTCACTTGAGGGGCTGAAGGGTCCAAATGCAGCCGCCCCCTCCCCAGGGCAGGGCTGGTGAGTTCGTCTGGGAGGGGGACCGCTGGGATGTGTCTGCAAATCCCTTCTCCTCCCCCCCGCTCCGCGTGCTGCAATTCCTAAAATGCTGCAGAGGTGGGAAAAGGAGAGGTAGAGCTGCCAGTGTGAAATCTTCAGAAGAAATCTTGGCCTTTCCTGGCTGGTGGGAATACTGCCTAGACTTCTGTCCAGATGGGAATTCACACCCCATGTCCTGAACTCCTACCTCAAAACTGCTTTGTTTGGCTCGTGCCCGTCGCTCTCCTGCAAAACTCAGCCTTTGCACGAGATGTCAGCGGTGACACAGTGCAGGCATCGCTGCTGTTTTGCTAACACCAGAGAGGACTTGGTATCAGAAATGCGTTACCAGATAACAAAGGCAAAGACGTGCAACAGCTCGTGCGTGGTCACGTCCCAGGAGGAAGAGGAAGGTAACCTGGATCTCTGCTGCGTGCCTGCAGGAAGAGATCTCACATGCAGGCTGCCATCTCTTCTCTCTCCAAGCCCTAAATCTCATTTATTCAGGCAAAGCTCCCACCATTTGCAGCAAGGAGTTTTGCCAGAGTAAATACAGCAGATCTGGGCCTTTGCCCCATTTCATTTCACCGTAGGCGGATTGACTGCTCCGCGGGGAAACCCAGGCTCGAGCCACACATCCCTCCCTTCTCCATGTTGCCCAATGCACAGATGCAAATCTCTGAACTCCTTCAGGGTTTGGGGTGGTTTGGAAGGATCCTACATCTTTCCCTTTACATCCTGTAACTTTATGGGAGCAGCTCAGGAGGACACGCCTGGTGTTTGGGCTTTGCTTCTGCTTGTGCCGCTGCTTTTGCTTAATTCACCTCTGCCCCGAGAGCTGGGATGCTGATACACAGCTTTACGGTGCGTTTTGAGGCCTCTTATAGACACAGTGCAGTTGGGAAGTGCTGCCCAACCCTCTTCTTCCTGCTGCTTGCTTTTATCCTGGTTGGAAGCTCTATAAATCTTCATGGTTTGGGGCATAAAGCAAATCCCAACTGATTTAAGACGGGAGCAGTCCCCCCAGGGTGCTGGATCAGAGTTTGCTCTTTGTTGCCAATAATTTGGGGTGTAAACTGGAATGATTAGGAAATGTGCACTATGCCAGCTCTGGATTGCTGATTTTGCTACAAACAAAGGGCTAAATGTGATGTGTGATGAGTTTAGATGGATAGATAGCACTTGGCAATTTAAACAGCCTTCTCGTGTTCCCATGATTTATTTCTGCTGTCACAGAGTGTTCCTCTTTTTAATTAGGATTTTAAAAATATAGTTACTGTAGAGTATTTTACAGTGTGTGAAAAAACTGTAACAGAATAATATAATGATGTTAGACTATGATTTACCATTAAATATTACACACGGATTGCTCTGGGTTGTCTTTCCTTTAAATACCAAACCTTTAGAGTTGTCGCATTGTCTTGTGTTTATTTTTCCGTGTCCTCTATATCTGGCATAAAATAACACAGATTTTATTTTCCAAGTGTGTCTAAGGGAATTGTGCCAAATACACATTTTTATTGCTTGACTGCAAGCGGAGCGGAAGAATCCTAAAATCCAGTAACAATATTGTCAGTGCTGGGCAATTCAAAACAATGAATTGTCTCAGTTCTCTCCTCTACCTCTGTCCTCAGCTTGGAAATAACAAAGATGAAGAGATTAGGCACTTTTTCCTTAGTGTTTTCAGTTTTTAGAGTATAAATTTCCAAGGTTTCTATGTGACGTGGAGGTCTAGAGCTTCCCACGCACACTGGCACTTATACCGGCACTGCTTTTAAATGAAGGCTGTGTTTCTTAGTACCAAATATCAGATGGATCTAGAAGAAAAACATTATTTGTGTCTTAGTTCATGCAAGGTGGTAATGCTTCAGCTGGGTGCTTCAGTGGAAGCTGAGTGGCTCTCTGCTACTGACTTTAATAGGAGAGGAATCAGGACTGTTTGTTATAACTATTTCTTAAAAGGGAAACTTACAGCTTATTGAAAAAGCGGATATGAAAAGCACAAACTTGCTCTTTTCTTGCCAAGAACTGTACAGATTATGTCACTGCATTTATTTAAAGCTTGTTTCCATTATGTAGTTTTTCTGCTTTTCCCCCTGCACCCCATCTGGTTCTCAGGCATTCAGACAGGGCTGGGCTGCAAACCCTACAAGAAAAAGGTCAAATCCATATAAAAATATATGATTTAGGGAAATATATGCTTTTCATATATATTTGTAACTTATTGATATACAGTTGTCAGTTATTGATATGAGGAGCGCTTCAAAACAGTTGATTAGTTTTGCAGGGCTCCTATTTTTAATTAAATTATGCAGTCGTTGATTTTTTAAGAGTTCCTCCTGCTTGTGCACCCGGAAACAGAAGATTAGACCCTTACTGTAACTGTGCAAATGCTGCAGGTATTTTCCTGCTCCCTGATTCCCTCTCTCCAGACACAAAGACACGGTCCTGACTTGTTTATAAAGTGACTGGTTAGCCCTTTCAGTTTAACACTCTCCAATATAAAGTGGTAATTTTAGGATGTGATTGACTCCAGCATGGAGAGCAGCCAATAACAGGTTCAAAAATCCATTTGCAAGTGTGTGAAACACAAAATGTGCACCAAACACAAATTAAAAAATTGGTGGAAACAGAGCAAGCATCTTCGCTGTTTAAGGGGATAAGCCTCATTTTATGTGCAGTATGTGGGATGATTTTTATTCTACTCTACTGAACATCTGAATTTTTCCCTGTCCACCTACTGAAAGTCCAATTTTGTCTCCGTTTCACTTAATTCTGGGCTTTTCCATGGGAGATCCCGCCAAACAGCATTAAAATCACTTGTGGTTGCATGGGATGTGCGAACAGTCCCTTCTTACATGCAAAACTGGACAGCCTCCTAGGGAAAACGTTTTATCCGCTAGTGAGTCAGCCAGGAAATGTCTTCAGGATAAAAAATGAGGTGCAAACCACAGCAAAATACAGGGTTTTAAAACAAAACGTCTATGTGAATGCCGTCGGGGTGCTCTGCGAACTCCCACCCGCAAAGCGCTGCTATGCCAGAGCGCCCTTGTGAGTAGAAGTCAGAAAAACTGCTGCCAAGTTCAGGCGAGCTCCAAATAATTTAAATCATTTTATTATATATGGTCAGCGGGACATGTAATTGGATGATTGACGGGTTTATGAACACGTTAAAGAGCTCTCCCAAACAGGAGACTGTCTCTTTGGATTACCCCTATGTATTAGAAAACTGAGCAAGCTTAATAAAACCTAAGCTGGACTGAGCTCAGTAAATTAAAATTGATCTAAATCGTGGTGGAAGCGGGGCCAGGGGCTGCAGGTCTCCTCTCGGGGACGGTCAGGCCGGGGACGGCAGGTGTTCCCGCCGCCGCTGGGCTCGGGGCGATGGAGGCAGGGAGTGAGGGCTGGCACCCCTCAAACCGGGCAGTCCCCGGGGGTCGGGGGGGGTGGGAACCACCACGACGCCCCTCCGAGACCCCACCGCTGAGGAAGGGCGGGGGGCGGTGTCATGGCGGCCGGCCGCGGGGACTACAACTCCCAGCATGCACCACGCAGACACGCCGCCACGCCTCGCTCCGGCCGTGACGTCGGGAGCCCGTCTTCTGCGCAGGCGCAGAGTGCGCGTGACGCTGTGAGGAGGAGGAGGAGAAGGAGGCGGCGGCGGCCATGGCGCTGAACAGGAATCACTCGGAGGGCGGCGGCGTCATCGTTAACAACAGCGAGAAGTGAGGTGCCATCCCCTTCTCCCCTGCTGCGGCCGCCGTCGCCGGGCGGCAGCGGGGAGCTGCCGTGTCCCCCTCCAGCTTCCTTCCCTCTCCGGGGGAGCGGTTGAGGGGGGAGGGGTGCCGCGGGTCACGTGGTGCCGAGGGGCCTACGAGGTGTAAAGGGGGGGAGGCTGGTTTAACCCCCTCGGTGCCGGCGTGGCAGGGCTCGTCCTCCCCACTTCTCCCTGCAGGGTTGGGGCCTGTACCTATCCCCCTGCCCCTTCACCTCCCCGGCCTGCTGCTGCCTCTTCCTGCTCTCCCCAGCCTCTTCCCCGCCGCTCTGTGAGGGCTGGCAGAGCTCAGCCCTGAACCAGGTGGTTCTGGCCTGGACCCAAGCCTCACCCCTGCGGGGGAGCTCGGGTGCTGCACCTGCAGAGTGCCTCTGTTCGAGAGCTGCCCGTTGGGGAAGCGTTAGGCCACCCGCCTGGTTTGGTTTGCTGGGTTCCCTGCGTGCACACCCCTGCTGTGTGCTCGAAAAGGAGCAGCAGCGTTAGAAAAAGTTACTGGGATATAGCCATGGAAACAGAAAGCCTCCACAGAGCTGCCTCTGTCAGCGTGGCAATGGGCTGTTCTTGCCCTCTGCCTGCCAGCGTGCTGCATTTCTGACAGGGCAGTCACTGCTTCTGGGACAAAGGAGTAGTTCATTCTTCAGGGCTTGCTTCCATGAGGCTAGTGAAAGATTTGTGTAGGAATTCTGCACCTCACTTCCATTTGGGATATGACCCTTAGAAGAATTCAATAAGATCAACTCTGGGGCTTAAATTCTCATTCTCTGGAACAAACAACTGCAACAGCTTAACGTGTTACTGTTCCCAGTCGTCACCCTGCCTTGGGTCAGGGGTCACCTCTCAGCGGCAGCCCAGGCTGTTTGTGGTGGTTGCTTGAGCTGGAACACTGTAGCCTGAGCAGAGCTGCTGGCCCCTGTGCCCTTCGGAGCCTTTGCTGGTGGGATGGGTATTTTCTGGCAGAAGGGAAAGGCGAGTGACTCACGATGGTAACATGTAATCTGCCAAAGGTAAAGGTGGTGGATGTTTCTCCAGCTTTAGGGATGAGAGTCCCTAATGTGGATGGTTACATTAATACAGTTTACCTGCTGTATCCATGCAAGGGTATGGCACTGGCTTAATCAGGTCAGGTTCTAATTGAGAATGAAGGAGTCGGTACAGACAGCATGGTTCAATGAAATCTAGTGGCAAAAAAGGAGAGTTATTCTTGATCACATTTTTGTGGCAAAGATGCTTAAGCTGTGGTTAGGTCTTCAACAGCCGTGTTGCATAAGCCAGCCTGAGCATTTCCTGCTTCAGCAGTCCTTCCTCTGTTGTGTTACTTGTGGTGAACCAAATTAGGGAACTGATCCAGCAGAAATGCAACACAAATTTAATAAATAAATAATAAAAATAAATCAATATATGTCTTGGGATCTTGATCAGTTCAGTTGACTAGATTCACTGCCTGGCTACGCAGATAGCAGTAGGTGTGCCAACACGCTGAGGAGGGAACACAGGTCTGAGAACAAGCAGTCAGTACTACTAAAGTTGCTATTGCTAATGAGAAAAAAAAAAAAATGCAAGCCAGACTGATTTTCTCTGCCGAGCACTGGCCTGAGGTTAAAGGCAGTTTTGGTAGGTCAGTAAACTTATATGCATATTGCACTTCTGCCCTGAGCTGTGACACTGTAATACCGTGTCTCTTTTCTCATCTTGTTTGCAGCATATTGATGACCTATGATCACATAGAAATTACCTTCAGTGATATTGAACCTATGCCAGATGCCTTCAAAGGGACCAAGAAGGGGAGTGTTTTTTTGACTCCCTACCGAGTAAGTAGTAAAAGGCTTTATCTTGTATAAGGAGATAAGGGCTCTTTGCTGTTCCGTATTTAAAAGTCCTCAATGCATGAAAGTCAGGATAATCTACTACCCCTTGAAGTATGGCTCATCCTCTCCCTCTGGGGAGCATTATGAATTCATTGCATATCCTATCTATTTGTCAAAAGATAATAAATCTGATTAGTTCTTATACCAGCAGCTGCTTAGTCCATCAGGCAACTTCAAGATTGGAAATTAGCAGTGGTCTGGAAATGCTGAATGCAACAGCACAGCTACTAAATCATAGCTATGTGGAGCAGCAAGTTCTCTGGAATCTGGGAGTGTTATCTGAGCAAGGGTGGCCTTCCTGGAAGACTTTACTGCCTTGAAGCTTCAGTTTACACTTGTGGCTGTTCTGTGTAGCTTTTGGCTTGCAGAACTGACGAGGAGCTTCAGATGTGGGAGGGAGTTTCAGTTCATCGAAAAGTCTCTTCAGATAATAAATCAGGGCTGTGTTTCCTGTTTGTTTTAAATAGTCTCTGTAATGTTGTTTTCTTTCCAGGTTATCTTTGTATCGAAGGGAAAGGATGCTATGCAGTCTTTTATGATGCCCTTTTATTTGTTGAAAGATTGTGAGATTAAGCAGCCTGTCTTTGGAGCAAATTATATCAAGGGTACAGTGAAAGCAGAGGCAGGAGGTATGTATAGTACATATGTACGTTCTGTATCTTGGTTCAACTACACAATTCATAGCAGAGTATGCAGTGTAACTGAAACTGGATACTGACCAAGTGCATTTTTACAGTACTGCTAAAATGTGTTTGTTTCTTCGAAACTAGCAGCTAAAAATGTTCCCCTTATCTGCTCCCTGTACAGTTACAATGAACAGATCTGTTCTGCAACTGATCTCATTCCTGCCCTCTGTGCAGAATACTAAGTTCAGTCAGCCAAGTGATCTCACTGAGTAAACATCAGAGCAGAGTTGGCGGGAGTGAGGGTGTCCGTTTGCTTTGGTCAGTTGGGGCTACCTGTTAATTCTGCATCTGGGTCCTCTTATGCCAAAGACTTGTGATCCTTTCTGGATCTCTTTGGGTTTTCGGATGCAGATCTCCAGAGCACTGTTCTTCATCATCAGTTTCTTGTGCAATTCAAGGAGAGGCATGCTATTGCTGTAGCGCATCTTAGCAGTAAAAATGACACCTGAAAGACAACCTGGGTTGTCTTGAAATTAGGGAATCTTCAAGGGCCGATTTCATATTATGTTCAATGAGAAGGTTGCGGTAGGCATTTTTAAGAATAATTTTTTTTTTATCACCATTTTATTCTTTTTTAGTAAAGACACATAGTTCGGTAAACTCTCTCATTCCCAGCTTGATTTAGTCCACTGTGATTTCAGTGCCACAATACAGTGCTTAGGAGACTTTAGCTTGTAATCCTGGAATCGGCATTGTAGCTTCTGCATGGGAACAAAGTGGGACCATTCAGCATGAGAGGAAGCCCGAGCAGTAATGACAAACTCTGTAAACTGTGTGAAAGGCAAATGGCTTTAGCTAAATCTTTGTGAATTTTCCCCAGAGACTGTCTCTTCTAACGAGAATGTTGCTTTAACAGCCATGAGAGTCTGGTTTAACTCAAAAGGCTTTTTAATGTACATGTCCCTGTTTCAGCACTGACACAGCTTCTGCTTTGGTGCATTGTTGGGATGTGCATGTTTCCCTTTTTCAGTCTATAATAAGAAATGTCACTAATTATTTTTTTTTTATTATTGTTATTCTGACTTGAAATATCTTCCATGGACTCTAATGAATTTATGTGGACCATGTTTTTCATTAAGGTCTTTGCTTCATTGGGCACTCAGACTCCCAAATTAATTTATAGCTGACAATTAGGTGTGGTTGCAAAGGCTTTTTAGCAAACGGGATTAACAAAATCCCTGTCTTCTGCACTAATCTTATACAAAGCTAGAGCAAATCCAGCGCTTCTGATAGCTTGGTCTGCTGGCAGCTGCTGTGGTAACAGGCACAACTTCAGAAAGCTTTTGAAAGGTCTCCCTTATTGATATTTCTTCTTCAGGTATCTTTTGACTTGAAAATACCCCAGTATGATTTTTTTTCTGATAATAGGGTAATTCTGCCACTTTATCTGCATTTTTTCCCTTGGATTTTTGGAATAAGCTTTTTAAAGAATTATATAGAGGGCATCTATAGATAAAGCATGGAAGCTAAATAGCATTGAAATGGCTTCTCCTTGCTTCTGAATTCTGTCTTTCCTCCCTGCAGGTGGCTGGGAAGGATCTGCCACGTTCAAGATGGCCTTTTCGGCTGGGGGTGCTATCGAGTTTGGGCAGCGTATGCTGCAGGTGGCATCGCAAGGTACGGGATCCCGGCGAGGTCTGCCAGACAGTTCTGTGGTTTCAGGAGGCCTTGCCTTCATCTCGCAGCAAGGGCAGTTTTCGGTTGCGACAGGCTGGATTCAAATTTCAGGATTCAGGTTTCAGGACTCAAGAAACTGCGAGTTTCAGGCTGTATTTGGAACTTGCTTTAAAGAAATACTTTTTTCACATCCAATGAACAGCAGATATATTGAGGTGGAGCTTGTTTGTTTTTCAGATAAGGATTCTTTATGTTTTTTGGAGTTCTTGGCCTGCATTTGATGCAGGCTTGATGTTTTGATGAGATCAACTTATCTTTTCTGTTCCAGTCTCCAGAGGTGAAATACCCAATGGAGCTTACGGCTATTCCTACATGCCAAATGGATCCTATGCTTTTGCACCAGCTGCAGCTAATGGGGGCTATCCGTACCCCCCACCTCCTCCTGGTAAGCCTGGGAATTGAGGATGGGGTTTATTCTAGTTAGCAAGAGTTAAAGTAGGTAAAAAGGGAGAGAAAGTAAAATTTTACATAGTCTTTCAAATTGTATCTGATGCCTTGTGCAGCTTCTGTTTCTGAGCTTAATTATATTTGCCTTTGGCTTGTTTTGGCTGTATGCTGTGACTCACCCAAAGGAGTTAAGTCTTTTGCTGTGTTATTTCCTTTCCTGACAGAGTTTTATCCTGGGCCCCCTGTGGTGGATGGAGACATGGGTTACATGCAGCTTCCACCCCCACCGTACCCTGGGCCCATGGAACCCCCCGTCAGCGGCCCAGACCTGCCCACCACTCCTGCAGGTAGGAACCCTGTTCAGGTCAATTAGCTCACCATGGTTTTGTTACCCATTAATTAGACGTTTCTTGTCTTTTATCTCTTGGGGAACTTAGAGTCAACTTAGAAGGTCCACTTAGAAGTTAAAACTGTTTAGAGGAGGAGTTAAGGAGCTCCCCTAATCCAACCTTGTAAATTTAGTTCAGTCTGGAGGCCAGCCTGATTCTCTCCCGGGTAGATACCATTAGTGGATATTTTGCAGCTGGATTTATTCTTGTTGTGACAAAAGAAATACAGTTTGTGATTCTCTGTTGTTTCAAACTTGCTCTAATAGATTAATAAAAAGAAACCGATGGTGCAATGTGTTTCTAGTCCATGTCAGTTAGCAAATGTGGCTTTGGTGATATTCACTCCTCTCTTTCCTTGTTTCATTCTAATCTGATTAATTTTGCTTAAACAATATAGAACAGAGGAATAGATGGAAAAGAGCTGGGGAAATATCAGTCTCATTTTCACTCATTTGGGATTTGTTGAAATGATTTTGAACGTGATCTTAAGGTCTGCATGTAGGGGGGAAGAAAAATCTTTTGTGATTGGAAACAACCATAGATCTCTCACAGGTGGGGATATTTGTCTGGATAAGGATGTAACTTCTCTCTGGTTCAGATAAACAATGAGGCATCTTTGAACTATTATTTGGAAAGTGGCACAGATCCAGATGGTTTTGTATTTTGCAGAAATAAGGAATCTGGATTATTTTAAGTTACCATCTTTAAAGTATGAATCCTCTAAGCTGCTATAAACTTGTACTGATTTTTTTTCTTCTCTGTTTTCACTCCCAAGAAGGATGGTTTGTTGACTGCTTTTTTTAAGGGGCATTGTCTGTGTTCAGGCAAAACTGTTGTTAGCGTTTATTTGTTAGCTAGCAGGCAAGTCCCAGGTGACATTTCCAAACTGAATCTTGGCCTGCTTCGCTTGGGACTTTGCAATCCTGTGGCAACTGGAAGAGATAATGCTCAATTGTCATGTTTGTTGTAGCTATTTTGCAACTCCAGTATTGGTCAAATAGTGCTCTATTAGTAACACTTGATGGCCAGGAAAATGTGGAGTTTCTGTTCCACTGTAGAAGTTCTCTGTGTGTCACAAAATCTGTAACTTCTCTTTCTGTGACAGCTGAAGCAAAAGCTGCCGAAGCCGCTGCCAGTGCTTACTACAGCCCAGTCAACCCCCATAACGTCTATATGCCCACGGTAGGTTCCTGTGCCACTCTGCATTTGCAGTGTGAGCCCAAGTGTGTGTTTAGCAGTTCTTTTCCTCAGTGACACAGCAAAATTTGTCTGAATTGATTTTGGTGTTTTGTTTTTGTTTTGTTTTTGTAGCCATGAACTGATGTTCTTTTATTGTTTTTATTTCAGGACCAGCCACCCCCTCCTCCATACTTCCCACCAGAGGACAAGAAAAACCAATAAACTAACACAGAACTCCACAACTCGTTGCTTTCTTACTTCCCATTTTGGCAGAATCTTGGCGCTGAGGAATAGAGCCTTCCCCCAGGGCACCTAGCTTTCTTGGACTCTGGTGGTAGATATCTGCAGAGCAAGGGGAGAGATTTCAGCAGCCTGGGTTACCTGGTAGAGCTCTGAGCGTTTGCTGTCCTACTGCAATATTCCCTTCTCCCTGTGCGCGACATCGCTAGAACTGCAGGTTCTCTTCATCTGTGATTGTTTCCCTTGTGTATGTTTCTTTTGATAATTTATACCTCTTTACAGTAAGTAACTGCTCCAAACTGATAATTAATGTGCTCATAACATGGGAACAAGGCTCTTGGGAGAGTGGGGGGTGTCTTGAAGTTACTTCAGTGTAGAGTGAAGAGCATGTCTGGGTATTCCTTTCAACTCAGAGTATCACATCCAGCTTTTCCCTCTGCTACCGAGAAAGAGCTTCAAAGGGAAACTTTGGTATCTTGAAGGAAATAGATATCTATTAATTTTTCCAGATATCTATTAAACTTGGGGTTTTTTGTTTTTTGTTTTTTTTGGTTTTTTTTTTAGCAAAATCATTCCTGACAATCGTAGCAAATAATCTGGTAGCCCTCCAAATTCTCCTGCTGTGCACAGTGTATGATGATGGTGACAAGCTTCCCTTCTTAAGAAAACATACTACTCTTTACAGGGTTGATTAGTAGCATGTAACTAATTATAGATCGTACGGGAACACTAATTTTCTGTTGTCTCTTTTTTTTCTGGTTAGATTTGTGGGCTTGAGATCACTAAGTCCTGACTATTCTCTTTATAGTCTATAATGCACTTTTTTCTTTGCTGTAACACCAATTACACTTTTTGGCCAGTGAAGCATCTTACTGCTGTGATTTAATGGGTGAATTAATAGCTAATGGGGAGAAAATAGTTGCTTTATTTCTGCCCTGGAAGCACTCGAGAGAATATGCAAAATGTTGGAATAAGCTGTTAGGTACAACTGAGCTGCTCATTTGTATGTTGTTTAATGCTATTAGTGTTCCTGGATCAGCTGTGAATTTACTTTGGGCTCCTTGGACTGAGAGTTCAAGCGTTTTCCTTCTGTAGCACTGATTCATTGATATCATTAGCAATGACCCCAGTATGCAGAACCTCTGCAGGACGGATCAGATTCCAGGTTGTAAAACTTTGCATTGTACAAAGCTTTGCACAAACCAGACTTCACTGAATTCTGACAGCTGAAAGAAAATCCTTCCCAGCAAGTGTGAAGAAAGATCGTGTGCTAGGAAACTGCTGAGACTGGCTGCATGCAACCTGCTTGGAGAGAAAAAAGGTCCACCTCTTGTTTTCTTTTTGAGTTTTGCTGATTAATCAAATTGCTACTGTCCGTGCACTGACTTTTCTAGAATTGCTACTGCAGTGATGTAAAGAAATGGTTATTTTAAAAAAAATATATTTATTTTGAAAATGTTTGATTAATATATTAATGTGAAATGACTTTTGAATGCAGATTTGTTTTGCCAAGACTGTGAAGTAAAGAGAAATCAGCTCAAAACTTAAGGTGTTTGTGCATTTGTGTGTGTAGGCAAACTTTATGGTGACTTAGTAGCTTTGGATGGGAGGAGGGAGAATTAAACACCAAAATCACATGGATTTTGTTGCTGGCTATTCACTGGTGACATTAGTCACTTGATTTCTCTTGATTGACTTTGTGAAATGAAAATATGATGTTAAAATCTCTTAACAAATGCCTGTTTCTCAATTTCTGTTGTATACTGGTGAGGTGGCTGCTTAACACTTCACCCAGATGTTTTTTCCAGACCAATTGTCCTTGTAAAACTTGCAACCTATCGCTGGGAGAAGTAGTCGAGGGACATGGCATAGTTGTTACCTCTAAAACATGTCTCTAATGAGCAGCAATCTATACATTTATCCTTTTTTGTTTGTGTGAGCGTGTGTGCAGAGATGCCTGGGTACTTCTGCTCAGTTAGGTCTGAACTCTCCAGGGTGGTGTGGTCCACGTTGCAGCGTTTCTCCCTGGAAGAGCAGGGAGTTACTCTGGCATGAAGCGCTCCTCCCGGCTGTGCTCCGGCAGCCGCGCCAGAGCTGTTGCTCCTTAGTGTGAGCAGAGCGAGGCATGTCGGCATTGTCCGCGTGGCAGGAGGGGCTGCAGTCCCTGTGGGGTCCTGTCCTGTGGCTCCTGGGATCAGGGGAGTCCCTCTGGTTTGCGCTAACGTGTCGAACAGAAGTTACTCAGAAGCTGCTCTACAGGTAGCATCCGAACCTTGCTTGGGTTCATTCCTCTGCGCAGCTGCCACTAGCTGCCTTAATTCTCTTGAACTCCGTGACTAACTAGGGTGGACATCTTCCAGATTCTGTTTTCCTCCTACATGACTTTTCACTCTCATGTCCTCCCACACAACTGTTTTACTGCATTTTGAGGCTGGCTCAGCCACTTTTTTTTTTTTTTTTCTTTCCTGTAGAAAGAGGTGGGTGGAGAAGGAAAGCATTAAGAGGAAAAAATGTTACAGCCCAGTAGGAACCTAATAAACCCTGTTTTCTGAATTAAATTACTTCAAATGGAGGTTTTCTGAATCACATCAGTCCAACTGTAAGATGCTGCAGAAACCTATTTGTACTCTGGTCTGTTTTAAAATGGCTCCCTCCCAGTTACCCTCTCTTCCCAGGCAGATAATCCTAGAAAATGAAGACTGCATGAAGTTTCCAAGTCTCTTGCCCAGCTGCACTCACTGTGCAGCTCTCATGCCAACAATCAGCACAAATCCACGAGGTATTTTTTTTAAATCTTTCCTCAATTAAGCGTGCATGAGAGAAAAAAAGACATTTAGCTATCTGTTCTGATGGGAACTTGGCTCCATGGTTCAAGCTGAGTATCTTTCCTGCTAGTGTGGGTAAGTGGTAAGGTCTGCAGTGAGACGATGAGTTTTGCTGCCTGGAAAAAGGAAAATATGTTGAGAGGATGAGTCAAGCTGGAATAAATGAAATATTCTCAACTTTGGTACTAGTGAGCTAAATCAGCAGCTTTTGAGCTGTGAGCTTTTTACAATGGTTTGTTGGTGAATGTCCCCATTCCTTCAGGCTAGAGCTTGGCATGGTCTATGGGGAGGTGAGGAGGTGCAAGCTAAAAGAGAGGTTGGTGATGGTGGTCTTGGTGTGTTCGGAGCACGCTGATAAGTGAAGCATGTTTTGGGAATGCTGAAGCCGTGGGGCCAAAAGTCTGGGCAAGACACCCAGTCAGCAGGGCTCGTGCAGGTGTTCGGTTGAGTGGAGCAGCACGATTCAGGAGGGTGCAGATTTTGGCCAGGCAGATGCCAGCGAGAATCCCTGCCTCGCTCGTTAAAACCTGAAAACCCAGATTTGGCTTAGATACTCAGCCCTTGCTGCCGTCTCCCTGAAGGGAAGCGGGAGCTGTGCTCTGCCTTGGAAAGGGCTTACAGGGGGTGGAAGGGTCAGCTGGTCCTGCTGCTCACATAGAAGATTTTAAATATTAAAGCAGGGAAGTGCAATTGAAAGTCTGCTTCTGCTCTGGAAGGAGCAGGGCAGGAGGAAATGTTGTGCATTAATATGTCTCCAGATCTGGTCCTTGCTTGAATGATTAATCAGCTATGCAGCAGAAAGGCTGTCATGTGAAAGCTAGATCAGTACCATTAAATTCCAATATTTGGATGGTATTACACTATTGAAGGAAAAGAAGGGGGCATAGGGAACAGTTAGTGTTGGATCCAATTAATCTTTTGGCATAGACAGATTTTCTATGACCGTATATGGTTCTGTCTCCTTGATGTCACTTAGGCTCTTGATTTTTAAAGTTTCCCACTGCACCTCGCGCCCGCTTCCCCGCTCTGACTACGCGGCTATTTCCCTCCTTCACGGCAGTGTGGTGAAACGAGGTATTTCTAAAGTGCTTTGAGGTCTTATGCAAAAAAAACTGTTGCTGCAGGAATTGCAGGTACTACTTACAGATTGCCTACTCTTGGCTTTGAAGTCTTGCTGATGTCCCAGGGGCTGGGGAAGGTCTTTACCCTGGAAGGATGGGGCATGTGTGTGCCTGCCCAGGATTGCCTCCAGCTGAAGGAAGAGACCAAGCCTCCTCCTCCTTGCCCAGATTTTACGTCGAGCACACCCACTTTGTTCAACCTATTACAAAAAACATAAAGAAAAACTCGTTATTTCGCATTAATTCCTTCATAGCTGGGGGGACGTGCTGAGCAGTCCTAGGGACTGTGGTTAAACCAGCCCGGCCAGCGCCTGCTTGCCCTGTGTGTGTGTCTTCCTTCGGGAACCGTGAGGACTCCCCACCGCTCCCCAAGCAGTAGATGGTCAAATTGCATCTCTGCCACGTGATGGACACTGTGATTTATGAGCTACGGCTTTGCAGCAGCGGCTGCCTTCGCGAGTGCCGCTGGAGGTGGCAGGAGGCGCGGGGCGAAGTTCGGACCCGGCTGTTCCCGGAGCATCGCAGGCACCTCCAGCTGTAAACAGCTGCCAGGTTGGTATTAGAAGATGGGGTTTGCTAAGATGTGCTGTGATCAAGAGGTGGTTTCAGGTTTAAAGCTGTACAAGTAAGCCCAAGTGACAAATGTGGGGGGTTTTGTGGGTTGCTATGAAATGCCAGGACATGCTGGACAAAGATCTTCATTTTAGGCATGGGATTTCTTTGCAGCCGTACTGAGTGTTACTCACCCGTCTGCTCTGCTGCGTGAGTCAGTTCAAAGAGCTGCCATGGTGAGGCTGAACTAGAAACCGGTATTTCAGCACCCTCCTTGCTCAAGGGCCGTCACTGTGCTGCCGAGAGAGGCAACAGCGGGATGTGAAGAGACCCACACAGCGGTGAGCAGGAGGGGGGACTCGTACCCGCCGGCGGGGGCTGCTGGATCTCACACCTCAGGCTGCAAACAGCCCGGGATCCATCTCTGCTGAATCGTCCCAGCTGCCCGCCTGCCATTTCCTACGCGTTTGCTACAGTCTCCGGATACTGGAGCAAAAGGTATCGGTTTGGACTCCGTGTGTGAGCTCTGTTCAGCAAACCCCCGTCTTTCTAAACCTTTCCTTTCCCTCTCTCAAGTTCAGCCCCTCCTCCTCCTCCATGTACTTTGCTCTGCTTGGGACATGGTTGCTCTCCCCACAGCACGGATCGGCTGCAATAATATTCAGTGTTTTGGTGTGTCAGTTGTGGATCCAGGGGTGGGGGGGGTGGGGGGGCTCAGCCCTCCAGCCTTCTCCCGTCGTCCAAGTGTGTGGCTCCACAGGGCTTGGTGGGCTCCTCGGGGGGCTTTGACACACGTGTGAGGAGAGATAGTGGTGAAAAATCCAGGAAAGGGACTGTTTTGGTATTGAAACCGGTCAATAATTTGGTGTGGGCACCCCAGGATAGACATGAAGGTGCTTAATAAGCACCATGGGACATGCCTGGAACCTGGGTATCAGTCCCAGGTTCTTTCACCTTCACAAGCATCTACCCTGGTCCCTCCTTGGCTCATGCACATGCTGTAGGTCCGGCTGCTCTGAACTGGGTGCCCCAAACCAGCAGATGAAATGACCTTGACATTTGTGTCCCCCCTTTCCTGTCCCTGCAGTGAGAACTGCCGCTGCCTGCCGTGAGGGGACGATAAATCCAGTGGCTGACACTGAATTCATCTCACCGGGAGAGGGAGGTGGATGAAATATTTGCTGCATCCACGTAGCATGTGGCAGTGATGGAGAAAATGCTTTAAAGCTGTCACAGGGTGCCCCAAACTAAACAAATGGCCTCCAGGTCAATATATGAAGTTTGTGACCTCCCGAAGGACAAGTTGCTGCCCAGGGAAGGGGGCTGTGCTCTCCCCCTGCCTTGTGCTGGCGTGCAGGGAGCCAGACGCAGCGTTTGAGCCGGGATGGTGTCCGGGCAGGTCAGCCCTGTGCCCTGGGTCCCGGGGGGGGATGGCAGGGAAGGGGTATCAGGGTGGGCAGGACACTCCGTGCTTTCCCCTTTGAGCCCCAGTCACCTCCCTGGGGAGCTGGAGCAGCTCCGAGCAGCGGCCGGCAGAGCTCGGCATCTCGGCGGCGTTTTCTCTGGAGGGGCTGGGGCTGGGGCTGGCGGGTGAAGCCCCCCCCGGGGTGACGGGGGTGCTGACTGCCTTCGGGGGCCACGTGCGGCCGGAGTCATCCTCGCACGCCCCTGCCGTGGAGCCGGCGGGGCTTGTGCCAAACTCGTGCTCCCGCCCGGGGCTCCCGGGGGGAAACGCAGCTTTCACAACCGCCCTGCCCCGCGTAGGTGGCTGGAAGTCCCCTTTGCTCTTCACAGAAGGACGGGGTTTGCCTTGACCTCCTTCTAAGAGGTCTCAAATGGGCCGGGCGGGTGCTGTGTGTCCCCCCTGACCCTTCCCAGGTACCACTGCTTTTTGTGCTTGGGAGATCCTGGGGAAGAAAAGATGTGGGGTTAGGGCAGAAATAACTAGCAGGCCCCGTGGTAGACAAGGAAAGGAACTGACTGACATCCCTCCTGGGTATGAAATCGCTGGTTCCAGAGCGCACGGCACCCGCAGGTCCCCGGGT